TTGTGTGACATGGGAGACATAGACACAGGACCACTCAGCATGGCGTGCCCTCGTCAGAGAAGGTACTGTGCTCTATGAGCAAAGCAGAATTGAAGTAGCTCAAAAAACAAATGTGAAAAAATTTACAGAATCCATCCCAAATGTTTACATGAACTATTTGTGCTCGACCTACAGGAGAGCAATCCAAGCTCCTATTGGTCTGATCAGCCACAGTTGGACACACTGTGACTTGACTCTAACGTAGTGATGTCATTTTGTCCTCTTTGAGAACGAAGGACACCACCACAAATAATATGCATAATATAAGCTCAGAGTGGGTACCAAAGTATTATGCCCTGAGAAGGAAGGCCATTAATGACCTTCATGACTTCATGGCATTCATGGCTTCGTGAATGAAAAAAACACAAATTAGACTTTAAAGGACAGTAGAAATTCAAAAGGCAGAAAAGGGAGGGAGGACACTCAAGGCATATGGAAAAGTGGCAGCTGCACTGCAAGGTGCGTTCAGGGGTAAAACAATAGTTCAGTTTGATTAGTACACAGAGTATGAGGAAGGGATTAATATGAGAAGCCTCAAAAGGTAGGGTGGCACCAGGCCATCTCAATAACCAGACCTTGATACCAGATGGAAACGGTTAAAATTTAGTAAACATTAAGAAAGCAGTGAAATTTTTGAAGAGGAATAAAATGGCCAGAACTATGCTTCTGTTGTTTGTTGTTGTTGTTGTTGTTGTTGTTGTTGTTTGATCGTGCAGTCATGTCTGAGTCTTCGTGACCCCATGGACCATAGCACACCAGGCCCTTCTATCCTCCACTGTCTCCCAAGATCTGTCCAAGCTCATGTCCATTGCTTCCATAACACCATCTATTTATCTCATTTTCTGCTGTCTTCTTCTTTTGCCTTCAACCTTTCCCAACATCAGGGTCTTTTCCAATGAATCCTGTATTCTCATTTTGTGGCCAAAATATTTAAGTTTCAGCTTCAGTATTTGTCCTTCCAATGAATAGTTTGAAATAATTTCTTTAAGTATTGAATGACTTGATCTCCTTGCTTTCCAAGGGACTTTCAAAAGTCACCTCCAGCACCACAATTCAACTTTCCTTATATTCCAATTCTCACAGCAATACATTATTGCTGGCAAAACCATAGCTTTGACTATATGGACCTTTGGGGCAAGGTGATATTTCTGCTTTTTGGCATACTATCCAAATTGGCCATACCATTCCTTCCAAGGAACAAATGTCTTTCAATTTCATGGCTGCAGTCGCTGTCTGCAGTGACCTTTGAGCCCAGAAATATATAATTTGACACTGCTTCCATTTCTTCTCCTTTTATTTTCCAAGAAGTGATGGGACAAGTTGTCATGATCTTAGGTTTTTTTTTTTTAAGTTCTATTCAAGACAGTTTTTACACTCACCCTCATCAAGAGGCTTCTTAATTCTTCACTTTCTACCATCAGAGTGGTATTGTCTGCTTTTCTGAGATCATTGATATTTCTCCCAGCAACCTTGGTTCTGGCTTTTAATTCATCCAACCTAGAATTTCAAATGTGCATGCTGTACTCTGCATGTAAGTTAAATACAGCCTTGCAGTACTCCTTTCCCAATCTTAAACCCATCAGTTGTTTTATGGTCTGTTCTAGCTGTTACTTCTTCACCCGCATACAAATTCCTCAGGAGACAAGTGACATTATCTGGTACTCCATTCTCTTTGAGAACTTGTCACTTTTTTTTGTGATCCACATAGTCAAAGGCTTTAGTGTAGTTCCAAGGAAGCAGAAATAGATGTGGTGTTTGGTTTTTTTTTTTCTGGAACTCTCTTTCTTTCTCCATAATCCAGCAAATGTTGACAGTTTGGTCTCCAGTTCCTCTGACTCTTCAAAAACCAGCCAACTCTTCTGGTAATTCTCTGTTCACATATTGCTGAAGCTTAGTTTGCAGAATCTTAAACATAACCTTGCTACTGTGTGAAATGAGTGTAATTGTTTGGTAACTTGAACATTGTTTGGCCTTTTTTATGATTGGAATATAAAATGATCTTTTCTAATCCAGTGGCCATGTTTTCCAAATTTGCTGGCATATTGAGTGTAGCACTTTAACAGAATCATCTTTTAGGATTTTAAATAGCTTCACTGGAGAATGATGTCAAGTGGGCCTTAGAAAGCATTGCTAACAATAAAGCTACTGGAGGTGACAGAATTCCAGCAAATTGTGTTTAAGGAAGATTGTTCTGGCTACAGTGAAAAGATGGGACTAGAAAGCAGTGAAAGTAGAAGCTCTTAGGAGGCTGTAGCAATAACCCAAATAGGTAGTAATGAAGGCAATATCACTTCTTTGCTCCTTAAGGACTTTGCATTGCTGATCTATAAGGAATTTTCGATCACGAACCCAGTCACACCATACTGTAACTTTGCAACAAACCTGGATCAAAATGTGCAGCCACTGAAGTGCAACTATGACCATTTCTAAACAAAACACTTCTTCACAGTTACTAGATAATTGCCCAAAGTAAAGCACAAAGACAGTAAAAAGAAATCCTATGCAGGACATTCTTCTCAGGATGGATTTGCACCTAAAGTACATGCAAAACAAAATAAACTCAAAGCTAACAAATGATGAACAGGTGTCTTCAATATACAGAACAAGCCTTTGAAAATTACACTTTCACTTGCCTCCAGCAACATATCTCATTCAGAAAAAAGGCAAAATAAAAAATAAATGAGATCTAAGTCACTTATTACAAGGCTTGATACTTTTTTCCCCAAAGCTTCTCCTCTTTTAAAACCTCAGCACAATTGGAAAATTAGTTACTTTGGGAAAGATAAGTTTTACTAATAATATAGGGTACTACATAAGGAATTGACCATGCAAAATAGTTGAGTATTCATGAACTTTTGAATGTAATTCAGTCCAAATATAACACAAACCTTTAAAATACCCACTTAAAAGCCTTAGACAAACCTTTAGAACATCTATTTAAAAGCCTTAGAGCTGGATGTTAATAATTAATACATTCCTCCATTTTAATGTGTACACACACAATTTGAATTGAATGAATCATCAGAATATTCTGCCCCTGACAATCTTGGCTAATCTAGTTTTTTTCCAGGGGCAGATGCTAATCAGAAGAGTTAACTATTGCAATTAGCTCTAACCAAAATGTCTTTTACACAAAGCCTCAGTCCCTTTACATTTCATCAAAAACCTCATAACTCATTCAGCTGAATTTACCAAACAGAGTTGCACCCTTCTCCCTATGGATCTAGCTAATAAATAATGAAGATAACAAGTGCCATTTAGACTATAAACACTTTTACATTTGGAAGTGCTCTCCTTAAACCACTGCCTCCTACACAAATTAGAAAGTATCTTGTTCTATGCAAGTGTAAATTGATGGAATTAGTGAGGAGATGAAATGTAGACTGTAGATCATCAGCAGTTCATACTCTCTCCGGAATGGAAAGATCTCAGAATTCCATTATCACCCAGAGCAGTACTATTATGCAATGCGTAGGCAAGGCCTTTGCACTCCCTTTTCCATATAGGACATACCAGCAAGGTCTTCATAAGAACCTATTTTTACACAAGATTCTCAATGGTGAGTCAATCCACTTCTTCTCTAGGGTGAGATTCAAAAGTCTATCTTATCTATATCTTCGTATATACTGAATATTGGGGATGAAAGTAATGGCATGATTCAACCCCAACTACTTATACTTTATTGAACATATTCAGTGTTGGGCAATTCGAAGAAAAAATATAATATTGGGCAAAACAATGTGTTAAAACTGATTTTTAACAAGAGGAGGCCCTGCTGCTTAAAAATCACAAAACATTAACTGTGGCACTGATTGAATACAGAGCTACATTTAAAGGATACAGCTATAGGGGATGATAGTATGCACAGGTACAAAAGGACTTCTCAAACTCTTCATTTTTGAGAGCAGGCCTCTGAGTGGCCTGTAATATTTTAGGTATGGCCTGGAGCATTTTCAAATATCTGGGCAAAAAGGGAAAGCTTTTGATACTATTACTCCAAAGAATGGAAATTACTCTTCTCCCAAGTTGTTTGCAAGGGTTAGTCATAAAAAGAAAATTTGCAAAGGAACATGAATAAGCAACGTATAGTGCTTATGCATCTACTAATGTCTACTGGAGTGAACAGATAATTTCCTACATCTAGTAGATAAAATTGAACTTGGAATCCAAAAAAACCTACGTTCAAATCCTGCCTCAAATTTGTAATAGTTGTATGACCCTGGGCAAGTTGCTTAATTACTCCCAGCTTCAGTTTCATTATCTGTAAAAAGGAGTTGGTACCCATAGTGTTTACCTCATAAAGATGTCGTGAGGATCAAATGAGATCACATAAGTAAATCACAGGGCAAAACTTAAAGTGGTACATAATATATTAATAATTATTCCCCTAGTAAAATCACAGTTTAGGGGATACAGTTAATGTTGCAGAATGCATATTTGAACAGATTAATTTTACTTAAATATCATCCTCACTCATCGAGGATAGGCTTAAAGACAGATAGGCAAGACAACCACCTGCCCTCCAAACATCATCTATGAATGATTCAAAAGCATTATGGAAAACCTTTTAAAAGTTGTACTTCATTAGGCCATGAACCTATAATGAAGCAGTATTTTCAATACAAGCTATACAGAGTTTTAAGTGTATGGACACGTAAACAGCATTTATAATAACCATAGTTGTAGTTTGACAAGAATGCTGCTTTACTCAGGTATATTCAAATTTGCCAAAGGGCCTATCTTAATTCATTTCAAACAGAAGAGGGAGGTGGATGATATTCTGGCTAAAACTAAAATTATTTATATCATATTTGTAGAAGTCAAATATAATTGACAACAACCACTGAACATAATTCTCTTCTAGTACCATAGCAACGGCTTATGAAGTTATACCAGTTAATACAAATTCCAGTTTTTCCATAATACCCCAAGATCCATCCCCAAAGAAATGAATTATAAGGGAACCATAAAAATTTAATTTTAATGATACAGAAATAGTATATAGTACATTCCTTTCCACAGCAGCACTTCATTCATCTCTAAAAAATTTAACAAAATTAAGGCTAAATCAGAGCAACCTGATAATAATGGGATATCCAATGATGTTTTTTTAAGAATGTTTTCATAAATAAAGCATATTCTTCAAGCAAAAAAAAAGGTTTAATAAGATACCAAGAATGGAAAGCACACAATAAAGCATGTTTCTTTACACCAAACTAACAATAAACAAACCCCCAAACAATCTGAAAATTACAAATAGAACCAAAATCCCCAACAACGTAATGTAAAGGCTTTCAGGAGTTGGAATTATACAGTATTAGGCCATTTTGTATAATAAAGCCAACTGTCACCAGGGACACCTATGTCTCCACGATATTCCTTTAGGAAAAAAAAGTGCTTTAAATACGTGTATGTATGTATGTGTGTGTATATATATCTATATGTATATCTCTATATATGTATGATACATATATAGATACTTACAGATATATGTCAAATTCAAGTTAACTATTTATATAGAGGATATTTGTTTTCTGAAACTCCAGTTGCTAAAAGTTAGGTTTTCAGCACTGAGCTTCTTTTCCTTACCTTATCCAGGCAAAAAGAAAAAATTTATGCCTTCAGTACTGCAAAGGAAAAGGTGCCTCCCTGCTGGAGACAGGAAAACAAGAAATAAAATCCTTTCTCCTCCTCCCAAAGTAATATATATAATTTCTGTTCAACTTTTGTCTAAAAATATTTGCACTCTGGGTCAAGCTTATTTTCTACTTTTTTAATCTTGTTTACAGCCACAAAAACAGGCCTTTAACAAGTCTACTGAATCCTTCCCTTTGCTCACCTGATAGGTGACAATTTTAGAAAGTCTTCACTGGTTCCTATAAAAAAAAAGTTCCTCCCCTCCTTTTACTCAGAATAATATATTTTTTTCAAAATATCAAGTAAAATATTGTTGATTTTCAGTAGCATGATTTGCTTTCTGAAATCCTTTGCTCTGAAAAGACAAGAGTAACATCTATCTATGACTAATGTGAGCCCTTGTTTACATTTAGTACCTCTCATCACACACATTTTCAAGAGTTTGTCTGCTATTTTATTGGCAAATGTTGGGTTCTATTTTGTATTTTTTGTCTAAGCTTTGGGAATTTCATGATTTTCTTCATCAACAGAAAGGGGTAGATGTTTTGTTAATGTTACCATTTCCTAAAAAAAAAAATACTATTCCACCCAACAAGAAAAAGTAAACTACTACCTCACAGTTTCCACGCGTGATTGTACGTTTTCACCTAGCAAGCAGCTGATAGTGTGCTGTCTCCAATTTTACATGGTAAGTTTTCTCCTTATTTCTTTGGTCTGCAGAAACTACATTTTTCCAGACTTCAAATAGTGAGGGGAAACTCCAGATAACACAACAAAAATTCATCTTAAAATATGGGAAGAATTGTTTGCGTTTGGAAAGACACAGCCATTCTTTCCCAATGACCACAGATATCTGAGGGAAAGCCAGTATAAAATTTATCCTTTCTGTAGCCTTGCACTCAAATTACACATCTGATGCTATTGTTAACCCTCAATTATTCACATTAGTACCAGGGACCATTAACAAAATAATATAAGATAACCCAATGTCACAATTATGGTGTAAATTTCCTAGGACAGGGACTGTATCTTATGCTTCTTTTGAATTCTCCATAGAGCTTAGCACAGAGTTAAGCAAATAATAATGGGCACTTAAAACTTATTTCATGACAACCACTAAGATTCAGCTAAAGCCTGCTATTCCATATTATTGAATATCTTTGAACAACTTTACCCACCACTATCCAAAAGCACAAAATCATATAGCTAAGCAGTGAGTGTCAAGATAAAGGTGAGCAGAGACAGTAATGCTTGTATATAATCTATGTTCACTTAGAAAATCAGATAGATAATATGACTTAATATATAAAATGTTTTATTTCAAAAATATTACTATGTGATGAACACAACTTGGGGGGGAAAAGCAGGCCAAATAAATTTGGAATAGGAAGGAACTAGAGAATCTACCAATTATATAATTGGCTAATACAAATATTTATTAAGTTATTCTTAAGAAATAACTTATAAATATCAGTAAATTCTTTTTTAACATTTTCATTCTTTGAACGGAATACATTTATTTTCCCTTTCACCTATTATAGTATAAAATGTTTCTTTAATATGGTGGAAGCTCTTTATTCTGCTGCTATTGGGAGAAAAGACCTTACAGGCCGACTGTATTAACTGTTTAATATTTGTCTTTTGGTGGACATAAAACATTTTTACGCACATTTGTGTGTAATAATGATTATGCCATATTAGGATTCTCACGCGTTATCTTTTCTCTTGATTATCGAAAAAGCAGTAGGGGAAGAAAGCATTTCCAAGTATTTGAAAAAGTTTTTAAAGGCTGAAGAACTGAACTTGACATAAAAAAAAAAAGAGGGACTAGGGTAGGAAAAGGGAAAAGCTGTAACACCATCTAAGTACATCACCAGTGTCCTCTCTCCCTACCTGGCCCATTTGACAGTTCAGACACACTGGGTGAAAAAAGAGAAAGGGAAGGAGAAAAATAGAAAGCAAAAGAGAAAGAAGAGACAAGATGGGTACTTCTGGTTGGATTTTTACTACCTTAAAAAAATTTTCAAGTCATCAAAAAAGAACCAGAGTACTGTTCTCTCTCATTCCCTCTACTATTACTTTTATTTTAAGTGCTGTTGACAAGGTAAAACAGTCAATTAAAATCCCAGTATAACAAAAATAAATTATGGCTAAGGAGCCTTGTACAGAAAAAATGTACCACAAACTTCAATGGGAAACAATGCAAGCATTAAATCATCAGTTCTTTAAAAACTAACTAAAAATCTTTCCTCAAAGGCAAGTTTTCCTCAAGTTAGACATTTTTAAAAAATTTTTAAGGAAAGAATTATCTACTAGTTTCCTCTCATCAAATGCCCAACTGGTATTAAATATCAATAGTTATATCAAAAGATAGACACGAAATAAAGATAATGAAGATAAAAGATTTTACAATTTGAATCCTGACCTACCCTCTAGAGTAAGTACTATGTTTTATAATTATGTTAATGAACTTAGTTGAAAAAGTATTATATAAATTAAAGAATATGAAATCTGGAAGGGAACTTACAGGTCACCTTATTGCACTCCCTAATTTTGCAGATTAAGAAACTGAGGCCACAAGAAGTCAGTGACTTGCCTAGGGTCAAATAAATAGTAAGAAATCCAAAACTAGAACACAGATTTCCTGAGTCCCAGTGCAGTGATATTTAAAATATATGGCACTTCCCCAAAATATTATTGAACAAATCTTATCTTCTGAATATAGACTCGCTTTCCAACAATTTGTGATAGTAATTTTTTGTACACTGTTGCAGTTTTTAAAGTTAATTAATATTTTTAAAGGAATGATACAATTAAAGAAAGTGCTACATTTTTTAAAATTTTCATTATTTGTAAAGATTTTACCTATTTGGGCATTTTTATGATGTTAAACACTTTCATAGTCATATGCTATAAGCACACAACCTCTTTTCTTTCTGCATGGTTAGGAAGTTAGCCCATAGACATCAAACGTATAAAATAATTTGGAGACTACACATTCCACAACAAGGAAATTCATATCTATAGATAGAATCTACAACATCCAATCGCAGTATACATACACAATGAATAGTAACTAAGAAAACATCAGGCTTTTCTTCTTAGTTTAGTCAGAAGTCAGGATGAAGCCAGCTGACAGTATGGTTTCACTGAATACAAAAATATTCTTAAGAAGCATTATCTCAGATGAAACTAATCTCAACTTAGTTTCTTAGCCATGGTCCTGGATAGCTAAACTTTTTAGTCCTAGGCATTTAGATTTAAATATACTAAAAGATTACGGGACCTAATATCTTTCTAGGAAAAATTTACCATATAACTTCATACACCAAATTTAATTGTTTTGGACTACATTTATGTAGGACTGGCTACTAAAAGCTAGTATTTGGTTCAACTTAACGCCTGAACACTTTTATAAATTTACTATTCCCCATTCCACAAAAAAGTTTATAAAGAAGTCTGAAAAAATAGATCAGTCAGCTGATATCTACTACTATACATGAATAGCTTCATTTGTCAAATCACTGCCCCAATCCTCAAGACCATTACATCACAAAAGACATTTTTTTTAGAAAACAGTTTCACGCACTTATCAGGAAAAAAAAGCAGAACAGAAATCAACAATATTGAGGGAAAGGTTAAGTATTTTCTGACAACTGCAGAAACACAAATTCAGAGGATTCCTGACATGCAAAACCTTGAACTAGATAGGAAAGAGTTAACAAAACAAATTCAGTAAAACAACTCTAATAACTGTGTTGAAATCAAACCTCTTAATAAAACCAAATTATTTCTTCCTCAAGGCAACCATTAGCTACAAAGGAAAAATTATTTGGTATCCTTGGTCCACTGTAATTCTCCAAGCGCAGGGTCATGTGTGTCTGTTGACATTCTCAATGGACTAAGGAGGTTTTTAAAACTGTTACAATTCAATTTCTATGCTTCCAAAAATATTATATGATCAATGCACTTAACTTAAAGCTTCAGATTTTAATAACTTCATTAGACTTTTTAAAAAACCAACACAAACATACTTTCTAGAGTGCAAAATGCTTCTTATTTAAATATTCAATAACATAAATGCAATTTGTTTTTCAATGCATTAATCCATTTCTTAAGGATTATCACCACGGAAGCATCCAGTGCCGGCAATGGATGCTAATTAGCACAGCCAACTCAAGTAAAATGCAACAGTAAAAATTTTCATACAGTGTCTTCTCCTTTCCAGTTAATCATAATTATTTACTTGTACAGACTCATTGTTGGACTCTGATACATGCACATATATGCATCACAAAGAAGTCTTCGTGCACAACCTTGGATTCTCCTGGAGTCCAGGGAATGCAGTTCTTCTAGAGACATTTTCAAGTACTCCCCAACTTCTGGACATGGGGTAACTTGAGGAATGTTAAACCCATTCTGCCCACCTGTAAAAAATAGAAATTTCTTTTCAGAGCTCATCCAACAAAAATTTATCCAACAAAAGTCTTCAATTCAATCTGCTGCCATGTCAAACAAACCCAACATAAGAGTAAGACTAAAGGAACCATTCTTTTGTGTGGTTTTTTTTTCAATTCTAGTGTTAGGAGGCTCATTTTGAAACCTAAATGAAATTTATTATGTAGAAAATATGATGAAACTGCAGGTAACTATTGTGCTGTGAATGTTCTCAATTACCAAATCATCATATCAACTAAGTTCAGCAAATGATTTAAAAATGATGGTTCCCCTGGATGGTATCAGAAAAAGCTGGGAAGACTCACATGAACTGATACAAAGTGAAGCAAACAAAATCAGAAGAACAACTTACACAGTAACAGCAACACTGATAATTATCTAAGAAAGAATTAGTAACTCTGATCAACACAATGATCCACCATAATTCCCAAAGACTCATGAAAAAAATACTCTCCACCTCCAAATGCAGAACTGACAGACTCAGAGTGTATATTGAAGTATATTTTTTCCTTTCTTATTTTTCTTGCTTTTTTTTTTTTGGAACATGACAAACGCAGAATTATGTTTTGCATGACTTCACAGGTATAATAGGTATCATATTTCTTGCTTTTTCAATGTTCTGGTTTTAGGGTACTCACAAAAATAAACTCTGCTGATTACCAGAGTCCAAGGACAGATTAAAAATGAGTCTACAGATAAGATTTGTCCTCCCCCTTCTTCCATACTACCTCTCAACTCTCAAATTTAGTAAGGATTTACTAGCAGAGATTTGAAAGCATCTGATTTAACTTTTGACAACCCTATGTAGCAAGTGAAACCTGTTGCTACCTTAAAAATGCTCCAGTTTCTTAGTTTCCAAAAAGATTTTTTGGCTTAACAGTGAAATCAAAATGGAAAAAAAAAGTACAAAGAAATAGGAAATCTTTTATTTCCTTCAAGATTAAGTGCAAGCACTCATGTATCTATGAAGCTTTTCCTGATCCTCCCAGCTACTAGTGTATTCTCTCCTCAAATTACCTTGTGAATATTTCTGTATATATTATGCAAATACTTAGATATGTACATGTGGTCTCCCCCTGTTAAATGAAAGCTTTTCAAGGAGTTACAAAAGTGACTTTCTCACTTTTGTCTTGGTATCCCTAGTGTTCATAGCACAGTGCCTCAAATAGAGTAAAAGCTTGATAAATGTTTGCTGATTGATCATCTGATTCCAACAAGGGGAAACAGAAAGATTCTATGTATAATACACATTCTCACAGCATACACCTAAATCACTGCAAGGACTGACAGATTAGGACATGCTAAGTAAAATGCACATATAATATTTCTGCTAAATATAAAGTATTTTTGTTTGTTTTATGTTCAACTTAGGGCTGATCTTAAATGGGTGTAGAGTAGGAGGGTACCTATGCAGCAGCATGATTTGAAGGACTCCAAGAAAAGCCTTTTACCCCCAAAATACTCTTCTCTCCCTTGCTGGCTTTGTCACTGTGTGTAAAATCTCCACATTTCTTGCCTCTGAGTTGACACTTAAAATGCAATTATATCTGGGAGAGCATAACATACTAATTTTTTTATTACCATTACCATTTTCTTTAAAGGCTCCTATGAGTTTACCTTATTAGCTATGGAGAACAATGTGCTGATGAAATGGAACCTGAGACCTGAAAATTCTGACACTGTGGGAAAGGGACAGATATAAAGCATAGGACTCTACTCAGAAGGAAGGACACAGTGGAAGTTCTGGGCAACTAGAAAGCAGCATAGGTAACAGCAAAGTTCTCCCCTAACTATGGAACTCTATACATAAAGTTTTGCCAATCTCCTCCCCATTAACTCTTATGGGTTAGACTGTAATTTAGTGAGGCAGAGGGGCATAGTGCGTAAAGAAATGGCCTCAGAATCAAAAAAGAGGCGGCTAAAAGTTCCCTCTAATATATACTGACTATGTGACCATGGGCAACTCTTTTAACCTCTTAGTGTCCTAAACCAGAGGGGTCAAACACATGGCCCACAACACTCCCAAATATAGCCTGAACCAGATTAAAATAAAATTCCTATCTGATTTTAATGCACTGATGAATTATTTGAAAAGAAATATATAAACGTGGTTTTCTAAGCCAATATAGGGCCCACAGAGTTCTTTATGTATGGTTTAATGGTCCCTGTTTCTATCTGAATTTCACAACACTATTCTAGGCAATCCTCTAAAACTATAGTTATAGAGAAGATGCTGACCTGCACAAGTAGAAGTATTCTTACCTAGAAGTTCCCTATTCCAGTGAAATCACAGGTCCAGTCTGTCCCTAGGATTTAGTAAGGGCTCATTTGTTCAGACTTAATAGCACTCTATTTTACTTTTGATAGTTGTAGAGTTAGGCATGGTAAGGAAGCAATAGAGGGTGAAGATAGTAGAGGCTGGAGGTAGAATAGGAAAGGATAACAGTAGAGCATAGAGACAGAAAGAAGGAATGTCAACAGGAAGGAGTAGGGTATAGAAAAGGAGAGAGGAGGCTGGTGGATACAAAATTGAAATATTTCATTTTTAGGTCTGGTCCTGATCTTACAGTCTTATATATCCTATATTCTAATCCATTAGAAAGAAATTTCTAATTTTTAATATATGGATTAGATTTTTTGAAAGATTAGTATCTTTGTAACAAAGAGACAAAAAATTTCACATACAAAACTACTGATTTTAATCTAGCTATTAGATTACTAATGTGTTCTAAATGTGTCACTAAAATGCTGATACATCTATGGTATATACTATGTAGCATAATCTAATAGGATTTCTTTATTCTAGACATTCTTAACTTGAGAGTCCATAAGCTTGCTGGGTTTTTTCAAATAATTGTATTTCAATATAACCGGTTTCTAACGTAATCTTACGTATTTTGCTCAACACACTTGAAAACATTATTCTGAGAAGGGGTCCATAGGCTTCTCCAGACTGCCAAAAGGGTCCATAACAAACAAAAAAGTTTAAGAACTTCTATATTCTCTCTCAGTGACTTCATTATCTCCCAATGGTTCTGCCCCTATAGACGCTCCCTCCGATTAGTTGATTCCTCTCAGGGCTTCCAATTTAACAATACCAGGCTAACCATGCTTTCATTCCTCTCCAGGCCATACTCTTGACTCTCCAAAGGATTTTTTCTAAGATGCCAACAAACCTCTTCACCCTGGAAGCTTACTCCACACCTGGAGACTACTATTCACATTGGAAATACTCTCCACCCTCATGGCCTCTCCCTCTAATTGGGTAGTTCCTCCCAGATCCTCTAATTTAAGAAGGATGCCCAGGTCAACTATGTCTTTATTCCTCTGCAGACTATACTCTTGACTCCCTAGACTTTCTCTATCATTCCCCGACACCAGGTACTTTCCTCTGTCAACCTCCATCTTCGGCTTCCTTTTACATGGTGTCATCCCTTATTCAAATGTAAGCTCCTTGAGGGTGGAGATTGTCTTTTTCCTCATATTTGTATTTCCAGTGCTTAGTTTAGCACAGTGCCTCACACATACTTGTTGTCTTGATTTGACCTTAATTATCTCTACAAAGATGACTCCCAAACCTACCTGTACTGCAGTCACTCAGATTGCACAACCTCAGAGCTATTCTTGATACCTTTTCCCAAAAAAATGTCTCTCATATCCATTCAGTTCTCTCCACTCATGTGGTTATTATTATCTTGAAATAATCTCCTAGTCTCCTTATTTCTAGTCTTCCCTCTCCCAGATCCATTTTCCATACAACTGCTACAATAACTTGTGTACAAAATCTATGTTATTCCCCAACTCAAGAATCTTCAGCAGCCTCCTATTGCCACTAGGATAAAATACAAACTCCTTTCGAATGCTCAGAACATAAATGCTTATTGAACTGAACTGAGTTTTCCAAACTTACTTTACATAATTCCCCTCTATTTGCACTATATTCCAGCTAAATTAAACTATTTGCTATTTTCAAACACAGGATTCCATCCCCTACCTTCATCAGTCTATCGACAAGCATTCCATGTGTTATAAACTACGCAAGGTCCAGGAGATACAAAGACAAAAAGAACCAATCCTTGCCTTCAAGGAGCTACCATTTCAATGGGAAAGACAATATGTACATATAAGAGTATGTTAACAATGAATATAGGCAGAGACAAGATGGCAGAGTAAAGGCAGCAACTCATCCAAACTCTCCCAACATTCCCTTCCAAATAACTTAAAAAAAAAAGGTGTTAAATCAAATTCCAGAGGGGCAGAGTCAACAAAAGGTTGGAGTGAGACATTTTTCCAACCCAAAACAACTTAGGATGTTGACAAAAGACGTTCATGACACTGAGATGGGGGCCAGCCCAAAGTGCATGCAGTGACAACATCAGCAGTGGGCCTTGGAGGTGGCTATGGCAATAGCTGCAGCTTCAGTTCTCAGTCTAGTGATGGAAGGAGATTATACAAGTGGTCAGAAAGAGATGAGAGAGGACCCTGAATTGACACAGGAAGCAAGACCTGGAGCTATTTGGCAACTCCATTGACCATATGCAGTTTTGGGTCACAGTTCTAGGGCAGACAGGAACATCTGTGGTCAGTCACAAGGGAGCAAAGGCACGGGTCAACAGTCCAGGCAGAGAGGAGTGCTAACACTTGTGGCTACATGAAAGTAAGGGCCCTTCCTGGGCAAAAGCCAGAGCACAGACCAGAAGAACAGTGACCACATCACTCCCAGGATAATACCATGTTAAAAGCACCAAAAGCTTGCTGGCTTCCAGAACTAGCTCTGAAAATAGCAGAGCAAAACATCCTGAAGCAAGGAACAGTGCCTCCTAACTTTAACATAAAGTTCAAAGTCAAGAAATAGGCTGGAAAATGAGCAAACGAACAAACAAGAAGCTGACCATAAAAAAAAAACTACTATGGTGGCAGGGAAAATCAAGACACAAACTCAGAAGAATACAATAATGTGAAAACAGCTATAAGAAAAGCCTCAAAGCAAAAATGTAAATTGAACACAAATCCAACACGAATTCTGGAAGAGTTAAAGAAAGAGATAAGAGTAGTAGAGGAAAATTTGGAAAGAGAAATGAGAGTGATGCAAGAAAATTATAAGAAGAGAATTAACAGATTTGTTAATCTGTTAAATTGGTTGAAGAGGTACAAAAATACTGAAGAAAATAACACCTTAAAAAACTGAATTGGCCTAATGGTAAGAGGCACAAAAATTCACTGAATAAAAGAACTCCTTAAAAAGCAAAACTGAGGGGTAGCTAGGTGGCACAGTGGATAGAGGACCAGCCCTGAAGTCAGGAGGACTTGAGTTCAAATGCAGCCTCAGACCAAACACTTAACACTTACTAGCTATGTGACCCTAGGCAAGTCACTTAACCCCAATTGCCTAAAAATAAAAAATTAAGGAAAAAAAAAAAGCAAAATTGACCATATAGGAAAAGAGGTACAAAAGCTCGCTGAAGAAAATAATTCCTTAAAAATTAGAATTGGACAAATAGAAGCTAATGACTCCATGAGACATTAAGAAACAATAAAAGAAAGTCAAAACAATGAAAAAAAATTGAAGAAAATGTGAAATCTCTCATCAGAAAAACAACTGATCTGAGAAACAGAATCAGGAAAGATCACTTAAGAATTACTGGACTAAAAAAATAAAGTTATAAAAAAATAAAAAGAATTATTGGACTACCTGACAGCCATGATAAAAAAAAAAAGGTTGGGTGGTTAGATATCTTATTTCAAGAAATTATAAAAGAAAATTGCCCCAATATCTTAGATCCAGAGGGTAAAATAGAAATTGAAAGAATCTACCAAACACCTCCTCAAAGAGATAATGAAATCCACTGAACACCTCCTGAAAGAGATCTCAAAATGAAAACTCCCAGGAATAGTACAGCCAAACTCCAGAGCTCCCAGGTCAAGAAGAAAATATTGCAAGCAGCCAGAAAAAAATCATTCAATCATTTCAAATAATTCCAAATATCATGGAGCCACAGTCAAGATCACATAAGATCTAGCAATTTCCACATTAAAAAAGCAGGGGACTTGGAATATGATATTCTGGAAGGCAAAGAAGCTAGGATTCCAACCAAGAATAACCTACCTAGCAAAACTGAGTATAATCTTTCAGGGGAAAAAAAATCAATATTTAATGAAATGGAGGACTTTCAAGCATTTCTGATGAAAAGGCTAGAGCTGAATAGAAAATATGATATTCAAACACAAGAATCAAGAAAAGCATAAAAAAGCAAACAAGAAAGACAAATCATAAGGGATTTAATAAGATTAAACTATTAACATTTCTTTATGGGAAGATGATACATGTAACTCCTAAGAACTTCATCATTATTAGGGTAGTTAGAAGGAGTCTACCTAGACAGAGGACATGGGTATGAGTGAATTATGTTGGGATGATCTAAAAAAAAATTGAAGGGGTGAGAAAGAAGGATGTACTGGGAAAAGGGAGAAGGGAGAAGAAGAGGGAAAATGATCTCACATAAAAAAGTATACTAGGAAGAGCTTTTATAATGGAGGAGAAAATAGGGTGGGAGGAAGGTGGCACCAATTCTTTAACTTCACTTTCATTGGAATTGATTCAAAGAGGGAAGAATATACATACATACTCAGATGGGTATAAAACTCTTTCTTAGCCAACAGGGAAGGAACAGAGAAAGGAGATAAGGGAAATGGGTGGGGGTCAGTGATAAAAGGGAGGACAGATTAAGGGAGGCAGGAGTCAGAAGCAAAACAGACATCTGAGGAGGGCCAGGGTAGAAAGAGAGAGAGAAAGATAAACAGAAAAAAAAATAGGATGGAAAGAAATACACAGTAATCATAACTGAATGTGAATGGGATGAACTAACTCATAAAATGGAAGCAGACAGCAGAATGGATTAAAAGTCATAATCCAACAATATATTGTTTACAAGAAACACTTGAAACAGAAAGACAAACACAGAGTTAAAATAAGGATCTGGAACAGAATCTATTATGCTTCAGTTGGTGTAAAATAGGTAAGGGTAGTGATTGTGATCTGAGACAAAACAAAAGCAAAAATCAACCTAATTAAAAGAAATAATCAGGGAAACTACATTTTGCTAAAAAGTACCAGACAACGAAGTAACATCAAAAAAATTTATAGCAAGTTTCTCTGATAAAGGCCTCATTTCTCAAATATATATGGAACTGAGTCAAAAAATAAGAGTCATTCCCCAAATGACAGTCAAAGGATATAACAGGCAGTTTTCAGAAAACGAAATCAAAGCTATCTATAGTCATATGGTAAAAAAATTTTCTAAATCACTAGTGATTAGAGAAATGCAAATTAAAACAACTCTGAGGTACCAGCTCATACCTATCAGATTGTCTAACATGACAGAAAAAGAAAATGACAAATGCTATATAGGGGATGTGGAAAAACTGGGATACTAAGGCACTGTTGGTGGAGCTGTGAACTAATCCAACCATTCTGGAGAACAATGTAGAACTATGTCCAAAGGGCTATGAAACTGTCCATACCCTTTGACCCAGCAATATCACTACTAGGTCTGTATCCCAAAGAGATCAAAGAAAAAAGAAAAAGACTTACATGTACAAAAATATGTATAGCAACTCTTTTTATGTTGGCAAAGAACTGGAAATTGAGGAGATGCCCATCTTGGGGAATGGTTGGATAAACTGTGGTATACGATTGTGATGGAATATTATTGAGCTTTAAGAAATGATGACAGTGATGGTTTCAGAAAAAACTGGGAAAGACCTGTATAAACTGATGCAGAAGGAAGTGAACAGAACCAGAAGAACACTGTACACAGTAACAGCAATACTGTAACAATGATCAACTGTGAAAGACTTAGTTACTCTAATCAATACAATGATCCAAGAAAAATTCCAAAGGATTCTTGATGAAAAATGCTATCTACATACAGAGGGAGAACTGATGAATTCTGAGTACAAATGGAAGTATAATTTTTTTCTTTGACACATTTAGTATGAAAAGTGTTTTCATGAGTTCACATGTATAATTCATATCATATTGCTTGCCTTCTCAATGAGTTGGGGGAGGGGCTAGAGGAAGGGAGATAGTTTGGAACTCAAAATTTTTTTAAATGTTAAAAAAATAATTTTTAAAATAATGCAAGGGTATTTGGGGGATGACACACAATAAAGCTGGAAAGGTAGTTTTGTGCCAGGTTGTAATGGTTATTAAATATAAAACAGATATTTATATGTGATCCTAAAACTGATAGAGCACTAGTGAAATTTATTGAGTTGTGGAGGTATATGGTAAGACATATACTTTAGGAAAATCACTTTGGCAGCTACACATAGGATAAATTGGAGAGGACAAATATCTGAGGTAGGGATGCCACCTGGAAGGCTATTGTAATAGCCCAGGAGAGGGATGATGAGGGTCTGAACTAGAGAGGCTGCCTTGTGAGCAGATATGAAAAAGGCCATGGAAGAAGAAATGTTGAGATTTGATAACTGAATATACAGGTCAGGAAGAATGAGAAGTAGAGTACAATGTTGAGGTTGTGAAATAGGGTAGTCTGGTGCTCTTTACATAAATAAAGAAGTTGAGGAATGGGCTTGTAGGGAAAAATAATGAGCTGTTTTAGACGTGTTGAATTTGAGATGTCAATGGGACATACAGTTAGAAATGTCCAGAAAGTAGCTGATGTGAGACTGGAGCTCAAAATGGAGACTAGAGCTAGGAGTCATTTGCATAAAGATAATTAAACTCACAGAAAATTGATGAAGTCACCAAGTGAAATAGTGTAGAGAGAGAAGGCAGCCCAAGACTTTGCACAGGCTATTCCCCTGTGCATTAGTCCTACAATAAGCCTTTCCTAATTCCCACAGTAATTACTGCTATTCTTGTACTTTCTTCTTTACTTGTACTTGTGTACAGAGTAGAACATAAGTTCCTAGAGGGCAGAGATTGTTTTATTGTCTTTTTCTTTGTTTCTCTATATTATCTGCACACAGGAGGCAGTGTTTGTTGAGCTAAACTGAATTCATTAAAGTATTTTCAAGCATAATATTTTTGCCACAGAAGGGGGTTTCCCACTAAGAATTATGTTGATATGGTTTGCAAAATGAAAACTAAAATACTATTTTATTGCCCTAAACTTAGAAGAAAGTTGTTTCTAAATACCATCACGGTCCGCCATGCTGTCAAAGAAGAGCCAGGCAGAGTCATCTCGCCCATACTTTACGAAAGCAACATAATGGCTTGTTTCAATGCAGAGAACAGCAAACAATTCCATCTTCTGACAAGGTATACAGCCATGTCTCCAGTCCCAATCAGGTAAGTCTTTGGGAAGTGACACCGGGTTGTATTTATGATTCAACCTCTTGGGATGAAGGTGGACCTAAAGTGAATTATTTAAGAGAAATGAGTGAACAACCTTTCTTTTTACTGTAAGTTAACAGGTGCCGCATATATTGTTCATTATGAAGCCCACAGGCCAATGTATTTCACTAGCCCTTACTTTTAGTAGTAGCCTTAAGTACTTCATAAAATCTTAATAACAGAGTGCCTAAGGAAAACAGGTTTTTTTATATAAAAATAAAATTAAAATAAATATGAATTCAAAAAATTTATACTTTGAAATGTAGTTGTTAAAACCTGAACTCTTTAGTTAGAACATTTTTCCCCACTCAGTACAGAAATAAAATACAAAACATCAACATAACAATAAATTATATTACTTACTATATAAAAATATATTTATCAACTAAAATCAAACTCACTTGCGTGTTGCAGGTTTTACAAAATTGCTTGATTTTTCCAGCAGAAATGTCAGAATCATCATAGCATTCTCTGCATTCATACATTGCAAGTCCTCCACATATCCGGCACTGTCTGGGAGCTACATTTTGGTAACAAATAATGCATCCCTCCATTAGAAAGCAAAAATGTCCCTTTTTCAAAGACACAGTGTTTACGTCATCCCTAAAAACTTACTCTCCCACCCCCATGTATTTAAGAGATCTTCTTAAATTTAAGGTATCTTTAATCACACCATCAGAAAAAAATCACTTGCAAAAAAAATTTCATGTTTATACTTACTATCTTCAAGTAAAGTAAATCTGTTATGTTTAACTCCAGCGAAGGAAAAATTTTTTTGAAGAGTTTGAAGTCTTTTCCAAATCGAGGCATCTGAATAATCAGACATGATGGTGCCTTAAAAATATACACATATAGATTAAGGTCAAAGTCTCAAAAAGAATTTTCCCTATAAAACTATAAACATTCCTACCGTGATTTAGGATATAATGTAGATGGACTACAAATACATGTTTAACCAAAATATTTTCAACTTATTTTATGGTGATGCCCTGATGTGAATCATGTAAACAGCTTCAATATGGACCCAAGTTTAATCACATGCTGATATCATGTTGTTCACAATGTTGTATACCAAATAAAAACAGCAACTGGTAATGGTGATGGTGCACTGTGCCTGCATTCATAAAATAGAGGACTCTTTTTTTGCAACTATGGCACAAAACAGCCATTCATTTCTTTATTTCAACAAACACAAACACTTGTCCATATTAAAATTCTTTCAAAAATTAATATAGTAAAAATCCTACTAATAGAAAGTAATCAGTAGATTTTAAAATGTTTAAAGTTTTTTGCTTTCACTGAAGGAAGGAGAAAGTAAAAATTCTTTTTTGACATATCTGAGAGGAAAAAATTTCTACTTGGACAAAATACTAAGTATTTTAGCCATAAGACATAATAATGGCTCTGTTTTACAGGATATAAATATGTCGTGTTTTAATTACCCAGTAATTTTATTAACATAAATTAGTTTAATGTTTCTCTTTGCCTCCAGAAAGCCAGAATGTTTAGTCTTAATATTTTTCATTTCCACCAGCAGATATAGCACTTCATATTAGCTATTCTGCTTGATTTTTAAAATCTTGAACTCTGTTCCTCTGTTTAACATGTATATTGATTTTACTACAGGATCAAGCAGTCATAAGCATTAATATAATTATAAGTATTAATAAAATTCAATGAAGATTTGTCACTAACCTCTGCAAATTTTAGGTTACTATTGATGAAAGACCATTCTAGCAGCTGTTGAATTGTAGGAACACCAACTTTTTCATTTTTTTCCATAAAAATTTGATAGAAGTAACAATCTTGTACCTTTTGTCCTGCAGATCTAAAGGATAAAGAACTCTCTGTTCTTAAAACAAATAAAGACTAAGGTGATATTGAAATGCTACGTAACAATGTGAGGACATTCATAAAAAAGTAATTGAGAAACAGAAATACCATACGTTTCCCTAATTTTAAGTGCTCTCTCCAGAGATCCAGAACAACTTTATAAAGAAAAAGGTGAAAAATATGGACCAAATATATGGTTAACTACTTTTTAAATATTAGAAGTTAAAATATTTTAAAAGTTGGTTTGTGTGTGTGACTAGGAAGGAAACAAAGGAATTATGTTAGAGCCAAAAGGCATTAGTGATCATAAGCAGAATGCTTTTGGCTGAACATTTACGAGAAAGCAGTAAATGACGCCCCCTCCTGGATCACTGCCTTGTTGTGGTAGAGGGACTTGCACAGCTCCATAAAAACTATGAGCTATGCCATGAAGCATTACCCGAGAGGGGCAGGTCAACAATGAAGAGTTCTGACAAAAAGTAATCCATTGGAGAAGGGAATGGCAAACCACTCCAGCATTTTTGCCAAGAAAACTCCATGGATTAAGATGCTAAAATATTATGACATTGAAAGATGAGCCCCTCAGGTCGGAAGGTATCCAGAGGACAGAAGGGTCTGATATACTACAGTCCACAGGTCATGAAGAGTTAGACATCACTGAATGACTGAACAACAAAAGTAAACAGCATATGATGACTGGAAAAGAAAAAAAAATTGCCAATCTATATAGACTCATAGAATCTATGAGCTGGATGGGGCCTTACAGATAATTTACTTAATCTCATTTTTATAGAGTTTCATGTGAGTTGTTATTGAAAACGTCACACAAGGAATGAATAGTAGAGCAAAGGCTAGAACTCAGGTCTCCTTCCTCCCCATCTTGTTTTCTCCATTTCAGCATGCTGCTTCATTTCTTCAACTAGGATTGTCTACCATTATTATAATTACCATAACTAGAATTTTCTTCAAAATGGAATAATTTTTAAGAACATTCAATTTTTGAGTCATGAGTTATGCTTCAAAAAGATTAATTTTAAAATTTGGTAATAAATTTTAACAGCATCTCTAATTTGTGTGTGTGTTGACTTGCGATATCTAAATTATTTACTGTATCCATTTTTAGAATTTTAGGAACAAAAAGTTAACACTATATATGTGTGTCTATATTTATATATACAGACATATATTAATAGACATATATATATATACACACACACAATAAAACACATATACAATAAAACCTTGTCTCTCCAGAGATCAAGATTACAGAACAAAACCAAATCTAGACATAGCAAATAAAATATACAAGCTAAGAAGAGGCAGAATTTTATAGCAGAAAGAGTACTGAATTTAGAGCTCAAGTCCTAACTCTGCCATTTATTTGTTTGCCATATGACTACAAGTAAAGCATTTCCTTCTCTGGTCTTGTAGCTTCATATGTCTAAGGAAAATGGATTAGATTCCCTAAGGTTCCAACTCTAGTATTCTGCAATTCTGTGAAACCAAAACACCCTCTTTGATGAGGAAGAAGACAGCCTTAGATCAAAAGTGTAACACAGAGCCATGATATAGTGGTCATGAAAGATTTCACTTCTCCACTAATTCTTTCTTTCTGAAGCTAAAATCATAGCAGCTAATCATTTTTTGGCTTGTCTTTAAGACAATTTTATCCTTCAAAAGGTAAAGGAAGCAATGATGGGGAATGGTTTAACTGGATCTGATTCTCACTAATACAAAGGAACTAGTTGCTAAATTCAAAATTATGAGAACTATGGGGGGAAGTAGTTATTCCATCTTAAAATGTGTGAAAAAGAAAAGCGATGGACAAATACAACATATACCATAGATTTAAAAGAATAGATTTCAAAGGATTCAGAAAAAATGATAGGTAGGCTCTCAAGTTCTATAATTTTATGGGGAAAGTCAGGCAAGTAACAACAGCAAACTCTGAGAAATAAATTCTGTAGACACAAAAATAACTCTAAGACAGCTGTCAAAAGAAACCAATGTGGATGCACAAGGAACTCACTGACCAACTTAGATTTTTAAAAATATAAAGCCAGGCATGGTATTACATAACCTATAATCTCTGCTATTGGGGGAGGCTAAGCCTAATGGATCAGGGATCCACTTTCGAAATCAGGAGTTCTGAGCTGCAGTAGGACTAAAATTGGTCAGGTGTCAGCATTAAGTTGGCATTAATATGGTAAAACCTCTTCTCTCCCCCAAGGAAGTGGAGGGCCACCAGGCTGCATAAGGAGGAGTGAATTGGCCCAGGCTGAGAAAGGATACAATTCAAAGCTTTCAAATGGATTAACATTGGAATTGGACTCATGAGTGGCTGCTGCACTTTCCAGGCTAGGTTGAGACAGGGAGACCCAGTCTCAAAAATTAAAAAAAAAAAAAGACAATATAAAGATAAAAGCAAGGTCTAGAAGAGTGGATGAGTATGTCTTCTCCTTAGCTTGTATATTTTATTTGCTATATGCAGATTTGGATTTGTTCTAGAAGCTTGGTCCCTGGATAGACAAGGTTTTATAATATACATGTTTTATTGTGTGTGTATATGTGTGTGTGTCTATATATAAATATATATATGTAAATACAGACAGAGATAACAGTGGATGGCACAGTATATATAAAAAAATACATAGTGGAATAGTAGATGGCACAGTACCATAACCAAAGTTTCAGTAATGCTAAAAGCCAGAAGAAGCTAGGTGGTGCAGCAGATAGAGCACTGGCCTTGGAATTAGGAAGACTCATCTTCCTGAGTTCAAATCCAGCTGCAGACACTGACTAGCTATGTGACCGCGGGCAAGTCATTTTTGCCTCAGTTCCTCATCTGTAAGATGAACTGGAGAAGGAAATGGCAAACCACTCCACTATCTTTGTCAAGAAAACTCCAAATGAGGTCAAGAAGAGTCAGATGTTTGAAAACAACTGAACAACAACAACAAAAAGCTACAATCAGTTTACGCTAAGAAAATCTATTTTCGGTTCAACTGAGGAGAAAGGAAGTATCAAAGAAGGGACAGGACTACTGATAGGGCAGATGATGAAAATAGAAACAAATAAAAAAGAGTCTTCCATTTTCCAAAGAAAATTATATTTGGGCTAGAAAGGAATGATAAGAAGGAAAATTATAAGACAGCATCTACTTATCCTTGTTAAATAAGTTCAAGTCACCAGCCCAGATTAATCTAAATCCCAAAGAATTTAACGAATTAGTCAACAAATATCAAGAATGAAAAAGATTCTGTGGGATTGGAGAAAAGCAAATTTAAGAGCAAATTAAGTTAACTTAATTTCTATTCTTGGCAAAATTCTAGAATGTATTATCGAAGAGATAGTGAATGAACATTTAACTCATTCAACAAGAAGTTATTAAGCATATACTATGCACAAGGATGCTGTATGCTAACTGCTAGGGATGAAAAAACAAAATGAAGAACAGACTCTGCCCTCAAGGAATTTATGTTTTACCAGGAAGACTTAAAGACAAGCAAGTGAAAAATAATTTGAGAGAGAGAAGACATTGAGGTGGACAAACAAAGAGTGATGAAAGGCCTTAAACTCATGCCAAATGAAGACCAGTATGAATAAGTAAGGGATTTGGGATATTTAACCTAGAGAAGACTTAGGAGGTAATGATAGCAGTCTTCAAGTATCTGAAGGCTTGTGATAGGAAAACAAGATTAGGCTTGTTCTGCTTGGTAGATCTAGGAAGAGTGAGTGAAATTTACAGACTAACAAGTGAAGTCAATGCTAAACATGGCCTGTCCCCCAAATAATTTTAAAATGCTGATCAATCTAGTTTATTCTGACACTGTTTATCAACTTCTACCCAGACATATGATAAAGAATCATTTTGTCTCCTAGACTTCTGAAAAACACCTCCCCCTTCCATGAAGGTTTATACAAAATAAGGGCACGCTGATAGTTTTTACATATGCTAAAGCTAAAGGCTCTGATGAAAAAAAAAATACTGAGACTGAAAAATCTGATCATCCTAGAACCTTCAAAGATCTCACAAATTTACTTATCATTTACAAAATTCAAGTTAGTTCATGTATGTGTAAAAAAATTCTGATGAGTTTCTATCATATTTTTGTATATTCACTGAAAGATCAAGTGAGAACTAAGGAATGAGTATGACAAAGCTATTCTGCTGCCAAACAACTGCAGTGTTTACTCTGAGGAAGCAGGCTTAGTATCTGGGAATATTTTTGTATCATCTTCCTGCCTTTCTCCCCAAATATAAAGTCACTGACTCAACCTATAGACTAGAGTATTTAGAATGTGAACTCTTATTAGAGAAATAATGTCACTATAAAGTTAGTCCATCATATAATAATAGTCATATTACATTATTATGAACATTATTAATAGTAATAATAGCTAAATTTGTATAGTGTTTTAAAATTTGCAAGGTGCTTCATCTGATTTTATTTCAGTAGATGTACAGAACTTCAAATTTCACTACAACATTAAAAATGCAAATGTTAATGCTGCCTGTGACTACAATTCTACTGAAAACCAAAGAGACAAACTGGGGGGAAATAAGAACTTAGTGTTGAATCAACAGAAGTACATCTTTTGATGATGAAGAATGTACGGGATTTAAAGTGAATTCTCCTGAAAATACTCCAGCATAATCTCTTAAAGGATGAGAGAATGTTTTCTTCACACCACATGAAGATACAGTGCTTAAAAAAAAATAGAGTAGGTACAAGCCATCAAATAAGACCACTATTGTTGATGCAAAAATCACAGATGATACTTTCAGCTATGTTGAAAAATCAAAACATATAGCAACAGAAAAAGACATGATGACCTGGCAGGAGAAAAAGAGACAAGAAGCTGTTTCAGCTCTTGAAAAGACCAAAAAAAAAAAAAGTAACCATCTTATACTGATTAAGAAATAGGCCATGAGCTACATATACTTCATTTTGCCTTTATGAGAACAGAAAAATAACCATAAAACAAAGTAACAATGGGACCTTTTCTTTTAATTTTTTTTTTTTAGGCAGTTGGGGTTAAGTGACTGGGTTGGGTTCCAGAGCAATTGAGTGCTATGACCCATACCATCTACATATTTACTGGTAGTGATATCTCAGTAACCAATGCTGGAAATCATGGCACCGAATGTTTAATAAAAAGTTATGTCCAGTATACTCTGTTTAGAAAGTCAAAGAAATATATAATAAATTTTAGAAAACTTTCCATTAAAAGAGTTTTAAGAATTCTGGCAGATGAGGGGTAAATCTTCAGATATCTGGAAAACTGAATCATCCAAAGACTCATTCCCTGAAGGTTCCAGACAGCCAAAGAACAAAATGTATCAAGTTCAACAATTTTACTCAAGGGGAAAAAAAATGACTAATGAGTTATAGAACTGAAAACAACAGACCCAATTTAAGACTAAAAATTTAATTCTTTAAGTTAGTGATGGATAGAAGGAAATAATGTTCTTAAAGAATGTGATTATCTTACAATAGGATTCTCCTAAAAGATTCATTAACTTATTCTATGAAAATATTTGTACACAACCTCATAAAAGGATGGTTTGCAATATTAGTTTCTCAGATTAAAGTCAAATTTAAATTACAATCATTTTCCAAACTAAGTTTATGTTTCTGGAGAAACTATTGACTAAAATGAATTTAAGCCATTACTACCTAGCGCATTGCAAGCACTCAATGAATATGATACTAACGTTGAAGTCACTTTTACTGAAATTAAGACAGCTTCGAAGGGAGCATCAACTTTTTTAAACTGTCATGAAAGGATTAGAAATTTACCTTATCTTTAATAATGGTTCTACCCTCAAAATATGATGAAACAAGATGTTCAAGAATTCTTCAGGATCTAGGTGAAAACGAAAGTAACTTAAGCAGAAAAGATTTAACCAAATAAGTTTTGTTTATTTTTAGGTCATTTCAATTCCAAATTCAATTTCAAAATTACTACTGTTCTTATTAGTAACAGAAATCTGTAATTTCCCTTGCTATCTAGAAGTGCAAAAGGCTTCAGACAAAGATTAAACCAGCACTATCCTCCAATTTCACTATAATCATACTAACATTTAAATAGTAATACTAGTTTAATTACAATGTGATATTTGCCATTTTTAATGGGGTATTTGGGATAAAAGGATTAAGGCAATTTTCCCTACCATTTAAATAATAACTGTAATTCAATTTTTGATCAGCAGTACTAAGTCAGTTAAAGCATACTGATAAGGGCCAAGGCCATGAGTTTCCATATCTATAATTAGTAGAAAAACATGATTCCATGACTCTCAGCCTAATCCCAGATAGCCATCATTCTATCAAAATAGACATTGCTATAAAAAAAAAAAGGGATGGTTGTATGCAATTCATCACCATTACTTGAAAAATTTCAGTGAAAAAAACCATTTAGGCACCTTCTCCTAGACGGCATTATGCTTGGTGATAGAACTACAAAGACAAACAATCCTTGTCCTGAAAGAACTTACAATTCAACTTAGAACTTATATTATGAGTTGATTAATTACTAAGGTAGAATGTTACACAAATTTTCAAATTTGGACACTGTATCACAGTACCAGAAGAGGATTGGAAGCTTGTACATTTTTTCTGTGTTACAAAGGGGTAAAGGAAATAGGAGAGTATTTCCAGAAATGACTGTGATATAAGAATAAAAGTTCTTTAAAAAAGTTCTTTAAAAGAGTCAGCAGCATCATTTTCATACAAATAAAATGTGTTGTCCTTTCTGCCTATATATTATTTATTCAAACTAGCCAGTTTCTTAAAAGAAATTGTCTTTTTTATCACCATTTTGTTTTCAGAAGACAGAAAATATAATTTGCTACAGAAAAAATTTCCATAAACTAAATGTTTAAAAAGTTACTTTCACTCTATGAAAACTGAATCTCCAGTTGTACACACACATGCCTTTAAATAACTTATAATGTACTTACTATAATTCCACTTCAATCTATATTTACAACATATACTATCTATGAAGTCAATGTTACCTTTTTCCTCTGAGGTAAAACCTGATGCAGCCTCAACTTTCTCAAGTATTTTCCTCAGTTTCATAATTTTTGTGGCACAAACATATCCATATCTATAATAGAAGATAAAATAGCTATTTATTAATTTATAATAGCATTATAATTATACAACAATAAACATTCAGAATTCTACAAGTTTTAACTTCAGGATTTCGTATATTAATATAATATCCAATTATTCTGAAAAAATAAATTTGTACAGTTCCTTTTGAGACTGTGAGCATTTAAATAGATTCTACAGAACAAGAAATAGCTACCAAGATGATTTAATTTCTTTAAACACGTGATTTCTTATTGCCAGAAAAAAAAAGATGCATGTTCAAATTTGGTTTATATACAGAGAAAAAATGTTGTTGGATATGACAAATGGAAAGGGAAAAGTCTACTTTATATCTCTATTAAAAATGAACAAATGGAGTTTTAAATATTGGCATAACAGCCATTGTTACCTAGGCTTAAATTTCTATTTGTATATAATACATAATTACTTTAATATATGATAATTATATAATGTTTCTATTATTATATGCATATAAATACAATTTTTAATTCAAAGCTTGTATTTTCCATCAGATATGGTATTTTTATAATTATCTGGATGAAGGCTTACACTAAACTATGAAGGGTGGGAATGGAAATATCCCAATAGTACTACAAAAACATAACTAAAAAGACACTACGGACGATACCTGGTATGACCCAAAAAAAAAAGTGATAGAAATGCCCAGTAATCCTTAGGTGAAAAGAAAAAAGAGAAAAACTTAAATGTCTGTTTACAGTCATCGCTCAGCATTTGCAGGGATTAGTGACATAGGGCCCCATGCATGTGAAAAACCACCAATAACTCTAGGCTCCACCCCAAACCTTTATTTCTAATAAATCTGATCATACTTATTTAACACACAAAACAAGTAAAACAATACACATCCATAAAAAGCTGCAGTTTCTACACAAGAGCTGGAAAATTATGCAGTCTTCACAGTTGCTAATATCAGTGCAGCAACTGCTTCACCAATTTTCTTGTCTTTTGAAAAGTGCAAGACACAAAGATCATTAGGGTGGGAGAAAATCACGTGACTGAGTCTGGCTGGTAGAGACATAAACAGGAAGCATTCCCAAAGAGAAAATGGAGCCTTCAGTTCTTTAGTGCACTGGAACTTTTAACAAAATTTGACTGTTTATAACAATTTTGTGTATATATACTTATGGTAGTAAATAATAAAACAGATTAATAATATATAGTATTTATGTATTTGTTGTTGTTGTTGAATTGTTTAAGTCGTTTTGACTCTTAGTGGCCTCATTTGGGATTTTCTTGGCAAAGATACTGGAGTGGTTTGTCATTTCCTTCTCCAGCACATTTGACAGATGAGGAAACTAAGGCAAACAGGCTAAGTGACTTTCCCAGGGTCACACAACCAGGCAGTGTCTGAGGCCACATTTGAAATCAAGTCTTCCCAACTCTAGGCCCAGTACTCTAACCACTATGGCACCTCACTACCCATTTATGATTTACTAAATATATTTTTTTAGTTTTCTTTACATATGTGTACCACCTGCAATTTTCCACAGTACACTGCAAATCTCCAAAAATTCCCATTTAATTATTGATAGCCAAACCACAAATAACCAAAACCTTAATGTGAAACCCACAAATGTCGAGGGATGACTGTACTAACAAACAAAATAAAAGTAATAAGCAACTTCAAATTCCAACACTGAGAATAAAATGATTGATAGGTATCATGATACTTGGTGGCCTGAGATTCATGACTAGAATACAGAAGTTAAAGAGAAATGTATTCAACGTTAGGTATGGGTGGTGAAGGGAGGTGTAGGATGAAGGTATTTCAAGAAGAGGTATATACACCTCTATGGAAGTCCACAGGCTAGAAAAAAATAAGGGAGAGTATGTGAGAGAGATCTAGTGAGAGATTAAGGAAATGCTGAAGTCCCTATATATCTTCATACCACTGAGTAGTTAATAAATTACTTCCATGGCATCATTCCTTATGGTATGAAGAAAGGAAGACTAGCTATATACAGTTAGGCTGATATGTAGTCGGAAGAGCACCTGTATTCAAGAAATATTGATTAAAGGATCTATAATCCCATGGATGTCTCTAATGGCTTGCTGAACGACGTTGTACTTGGCACTATTCCTATTGAAATTTATGTTGATGTTTTAAATATAAAAGGAATATTTATCTAATTTGCTTTAAAAAAAGGATAGTGAAAATATTTAATGTTGTAGATAAAAGAATTAAAATTTAAAAAGAAAAACACAGGCTTGAATGAGCCCATATTTAGACTCAATTAATTAAGTGTGCAAGTACAAAATTGAAAGAATACATCACAAAGAAGTTTATGGGAGTTCTAGTTGACAAACTCAATATGAGTCAAAAGTAAAATTTAACTGATACTAACTCAATATATCCAACTTCACTGTGGATAATCCCTCCAATAATCCACACTGCAACTCAACCATGCCTGCTCAATCCATGCCACATTTGATCCATATCCTCACATGAGTTTGCCCAATGTACTGAAGATCTTTCTCACATCACCCTGACTTTGTGAAAATGCCAGCATAACATTGTGGCTATTCATCAGTAATTCCTCACTGTTGTCACATGACCAATTCTTCTGTTTCAAACATACATTTCATTGACTTTCTCTAAATCATTTTTCCTGCCATAATTCCTTGTTTATAATATATATAAATCCTTGCTTATAATATATTGCAGCAAGTTCATGCCCACAACCTGCCTCTCCATTTCCCTCAGAGCAGATCTTCACCTTCAATTCTTTGGATACATGACACACAGCCATACAATATCCGTGGAAGACTGCTGTTGTTAAAAAAAAGATGGCCCTTTAGATCAGGAAGATTCATGTATATTCTCCATGTATATATGTATACATATACATATACATGCATATACATATATATATATATATACACACACATACATATATACACACACACATATATGTATACACATATGGATATACTACATATGTATATATGTACACACAGATGAGTCTTATAGGATGTCCATACAAAGAGAGGTGATGGACTCAGAGTATAGATTGAGACATAATTTTTTTGGACATGGCCAATGCAAAAATTTTTTATGATTGGTTATGTGTGTTCATAACAGGGGTATCTTCTCAGTTGAGGGAAAAGGGAATGGCAGTAAGAGGAAACAGATCTTTATTTGAAAAAAAGTTTAAGAAAATTAAAACTTTTTAAAATGTTTTATACATAAGTTCAAAGTCCTACTTAGATGTTCTCACATACCACCTATCTCCCCACTCATCAAAACTTTTATTGGGTATCTCCTTTTACTTCTGCCAATATAAACAATTCCTACAAACCAAAGAAAAACATGTTTATATTTCATGTTCTAGAAAATAGAAACGCTTTTATAACTATAAAACTTTTATATTATAATAAATATATTCCTTGCAAGAACCTTGTAATTTAAAAACATCTGTTTCTAATATAAGAATTAACAAATAGCTATTATATACATAATATTTTCCCCATTGTGGTCCTAATTCTTCACATAAAAGTTGTCCCAAAAATCTTAGTGCAATTTTAAATTTTTGTAACTGCACTAAGTTTTTGGGACACTCTATCAAAGGTGGGGAACCTGCAGCCTCGAGGCCACATGTGGCCCTCTAGGGTCTCAAGTGCAGCCCTTTGACGGAATCCAAACTTTTCACAGAATAAATCCTTTTATTAAGTTATCAAGGCAATGTGAGAAAGATCTTCAGTACACTGGGCAAACTTATGTGAGGACATGGACCAAATGTTGCATGGATTGAGCAGGCATGGTTGAGTTGCAGTATGGATTATTGGAAGGATTATCCACAATGAAGTTTGATATATTGAGTTAGTATCTGTTAAATTTTACTTTAGACTCATTACATAGAGTCTATGTAATTAGGTACAATAAATTTAAATGCAATTTGATTTATCTACTTCATTTAGACACTATTCCTATTAATGTACATATATAATGATAAAGTGAGAATCCCAACCATCTTGGTTTTCTTTAACCCACCATAATCACTAAAACTCAATATGTTCCATTAAGGTTATTTAAACCATTTCATGGTACACTACATAATAACTTCATTGGAATTAAGAAATCAGAACACCAAGATAAGTTATAATGGGATGATCAAAGTACATTTTTTAAAAAGGTACATATTAGGACTAGGCATGGTGGCACACTCCTGTAATCCCTGCTGCTAGGAAGGCCAAGGCTGATGGATCGCCTAAGCTTGAGAGTTGTGAGCTGCAGCACAGGTAAAGCTGAACAGGAATCTGCACTAAGTCTGACAGCAATATGATGAGCCCCTAGGAGCAGAGGGCCACCAAGCTGCTGCCTAAGCTGGGGTAGCAAATGGGCCCAGGTCAGAAAAGAAACAGGTCAAAGTTTCTGTGCTGCTGATGAGCAGCTAAACTTCAAGACCTGGTGAGAAAGAAAGACCCAATATCCCCCTCCTAAAAAAATGCATACATACATACATACATACATACATACATATATATATATATATATATATATATACACATACATACATACATATATATACATATATATATGTACACACACACGTGTGTGTGTGTTAGTTTTAGAGTACACTGCAAAAAAGATAAATTTAATTATTTTCCCTTCTATATTACATAATGTGGCAGAGTAGTTAATTACCATACAAAAGTTAGCAACCAAATTATCTATACCAAAGGCAGGATATTAAGCTATAATATTGTGTATACTTACATTCTAAGAGGATTTACAATCTCTGTCCTCAGTAGCTCTTGAGTTTCGCTATAATATTCTACATCATTCTTTTCTTTTGGCCTAAGTAAGACAGTGTCCAAAACAGAACTAAAAGAAAATAAGCTGAAAAACAAACATAAAAATGCATTTTGGGGGACTCTCAACATGTGGAAATATTAAGTTTTAATACAAGAACTAACAAACTGATTCTTAAAGCAAAAATAAAAATTGGAGGACCAGGATATAAAGTAGAGGGGAAAAGTAAAACATTATTAAATGCTAACGTTTTCAAATATGGAAAAACTGAAACTCCTAGGAGATCTATCATTCAATTTAATTTAGATAGAGAACCCACTTTATGCAAAACACTCACTGTGTTAGAAGATGGAGATATGAAGCTGAAAAATAAAACTGTCTATGCCCTCAATTCAAATAACAATCCAACAAAACCCTACTATGTGCCACTCACTACATAAGGCACTACTGATACAAAAGCAAAAATCAACATAGTTCCAACTCTCTGAGAACGGTTTATGCTTTACACATATATACAAATAAGTATGATAAAGGTAAACTGAGGAAGGAAAAAGCACTAACAACTGGATAGATCAGAGAAAACTTCATGGAGGAGAAGGCACTGAAACAATCCTTAAAGGACAGCAATAATTCTGGGTGTTGGCGATGTAGTTGAGACACAGTGGAAGTACCTTCTGGGCATGAAGGGTGGCTGGTGGGAATGAACAGGAAGAGGACTGTTAAGTATGGGGGGAAACTGGTAGTCTAGTTTAGACTAGACAGATTTGGTAAAGGACAGCAGTTTGAAATAAGGCTATAAAGGAAGACAAGAAACAGATTATAAAGTCTTATAAATGCTGAACTGAATAGTTTGAATCTTATCCTAGAGGCAACAGGGATACCTTGAGGCTCTTACACATTGAAGGCCTTGGTCAGACCTGTACCTCAAATAGATGACTTTGGCATCTGTGTGGAAAACACATTAGAAAAGGGAAGACTAGAAGCAGAGAAACCAATGAGGAGCTTTTGTAGTGCTCTACATAAGAGCTGACAAGGGCCTGAACTAGGGTGGTAATCATGTAAATGGAGAGGAGAAATATGCAAGATATGTTGTGGAGGTAAAACTAAACAAGACTTAGAAACTGATTGGATAGGGAAGGTTTGAGGGAGGAAAGACTCAAAGAAGACTACGGGGTTAAAAACCTAGGTGACTGGGAAGATGTGGCACTTAACAGAAACAGGAAGGTATAGAAGATGGTCAAGATTAGGAGGAAGATAATGAGCTTACTAGCTAACAGGGGAAGGAGATAAAAACATATACCCAAATAAAATGTAATGTAAAATGGGGTAAATGCAAGGACTCAGACAAAATGCTGTAAGAAATCTGAGAATGAAAAGATCAAATACAACTATAGGGTTAAGGGAAGCCTTCATGGAAAAAATGGTACCTGCACTGGGGCTTCATATAGGAAACAGGATTTCAATACATGGAGATGTGGAGAAAACTTATTCCAGGTATAGGGAAAACTGCCTTTGCAAATGCACGTAAGTAAAAAAATTGCAGAACAAATATGAAAAACAGCTGGAAAGAAATCCAGACTACCTAGAATGTAAAGTGTGAAAAAGGAACAGGTCTAAATATGGCTGGTAAGGTAAACTGTAGCTAGATTATGAAGATTTGAATATACCTCTTATCCCCCAGGAAATCCTGCCACGATAAAGCAGCTAAGAAATAGGAAGGAAGAAGAAATGAAAATGGGATGGAAATTATTTTTTAGAATCCAGTGGGAAAGATAAGGCTTAACAATACTGAAGTGTTTTTTTTTAACTGCCTACAAGGCAAGAAGATAATTGGGTATGACAGTTACAAGGAGAACCACAAGGTCTAATCATTCCAAAAGGGGCTGAAAATCTCTGACAAAAGTACTAATCTAGGCCAAAGACTGACAAATCCACAACCACTCTAGATTTGTTCAAATCATGGCTCTGTCATTTACTATTTTGAGCAAATCACTTAACTTCTCTGCTTCCTCATCTGTAAAATGATGATGTTAGACTATATGTTCTCTAACATTCCTTTCAATCCTAAATACCATGATAGTTCTCTCTTCTTGAGACAACTAATTAAAAGGGATAATCATCACATGTTAACAAAGAAATAACACAATTCACTGTAGAACAAGCTGCACATACAAATATCACAGTGGTTCTATTGTATACCTTCTGAATGGCAGATTTCTGAATTTGACCCTACACCCTAAAATCTTTTGAATGGTTTATTTCTAGATGTGACTCTACTCCATAAAAGAGACCTACTACATACCAACAAATGGACTGCTACAAGCCCCACTGTTTGATGCATACAGAGATGGCAGTACTTGTTCGTTCTTTGGAGTTAGATGTTTGATGTGTATTGCCCTTAGTGTAGTGTGAATTGCTTCTAATATTATCATTAACCTAGCACCTTCATCACTCAACTATATTTCAAACTTACCAGAATAAGGTAGAGTCTAAGTAACAAGAATTGTAATGTCCCTGGATACCTTTCTTCTTTCCAATCATTACTTCTAAACCTTCTTTTTCCATTTTTGGTGGAGTATTCTCTTCCACCACTTCACTTAAGTAACCTCCAAATGCTGAAAAGAAAAAGTCAACATGAAAGCATTTCTCAAAAAATAATTGGGTTGTTTGTTTCTACCCACACTTTCATTTTTCTTAACTACATTTTGATGCACTGATACATAGCTACTATGGAAACCAGATTCCCAAGGTTAAAAATGAGTTTTACTTGCATTATTTAGTTCAGTTTACAAAAGCTGTAATTGATTCCTGCCTTTTTTTACCCTCAACCCACCCCAAATTTTAATTAGTAATTAATATATAACCTTTTAAGATCATATATAGCCGCAGCAAAAGTTGGCCAAGTAAAATTTTGTTGACCAAAGCAGAAAGAGTTGTTTCAATTTTTGCAATTAAAAGCACATTTTGTCACTAAAACATGTTCTTAATGCAAAGGAACTAACAGAAGGAAGCCGAGAAGGAAAAAGAACAAGCAGGACACCTCTGAAAGTAACATGGTGAATTTATTGTATGCTTTTTAAAAAGTGCTTTTCACAAACATTTATTCCCAAAAAACTGCTAACATTTTACTTGCACCCACTCAACTCTTAAAATGAAGTATTTTTCAGTATCTATGCAAGAACTAAAGTTATCTATTAGTTAAATCTAAGCAACGGATAATTTCCTGAAACTGCAACATTTAACAGAGAAGAGACATGCCTTATGCTAATAAATCAAAAACAATTTTCTAGTATAAGACTAATTTATTTCAAAGTTTGTGCTTATTTTGTAGTAAGCAATTCATTTAGACAAAGAAGTAGGTGTAAAAAAGATTAAATTTTAATTTCAATCTTCTGAAATTACTGAAAATTAAATGACTAAAGACAACAGTAAAGGTTTAAAAAAAGAACTTCTTGATTTTTAAAAGTTCTCAGCCACTATGTATAGTTAAAATCTTGGAAAAATTAATTTCTCATCTAGGATAAACTAAAAATGTAATCACTATGAGCCAATGAAGGGATTCTGTTGTCGTTAATACTAATTGAAAAGGCATATTAATGTTAACCAAAACTGGCTACAATATTTTCATTTCTAACTACTGTATAAATTCCTGAGATTGGAAATGGAATCTGTTCCAAACTGGAAATAAATAATAAAAAGTTGCAAATACCTAAAGAGTTGCACCGTTCAATCTGGTTGGGAACTGGCTGAAGTGAGGCAAACCTAGAATCAGGCCTGCAGCTCTTGAGTTTAACAAACAGCGCCTTCTTCAGGGCACAGGTGAAATAACGCGTACCTCTGAAAGTTCCATCTGTACAGCCTGCACATTCATCTTCCTGAAATAAAATATGCTTTAGAGGTGAATTATTCTGCATGTACAAGGGTAACAGTTAAAGAACTGATTTTTAAAAAATTTATCCCATCCTTGATTCATTGGGAGTAAAACTGAGATTTCCATTAGGATGATTATTTCTGGAAGTTTAAGACATTACTGAGGCTAAGGTCTTTTATTTTAAAAGTGACAAGTATGGATCCATAATTTCCTGTATTTATTTTTAAAAGAAAAGCTTGAATCTTCTCTAGGCTACTGAATCTCTTCTACCACTACCCTAAGTAAGAAAAAAAACTGAAGCCATTAATTTCTTTGAATACACAATGATAACTATTACTGACAGCAATGAATAATGAATTAAAAAGGAAAAAGGAAAGATGTGCCCTTAAAGGAGTGATACTTCTCAGATTCTCCCCCTTCTAAGGCATGCAACAATAAAGGAAAAATCCTTCTGCATATCTCTAGAATTATTCCCTAGGATTATTATTATTATTATTAGGCATAGTAGAAACTATACCATTATTGGGATGAGATGGGAGCTTTATTGTATTCACAAGAGAACACCCTTTCCAGAAGATTCCTCTCTTTCATCACCGAAGAGGTACTCCTAAGGTTAAGTCTTTCTACCTATGGCTTTCTTACTCCCTCCCACTTCTTTTAGGACCTTGCATTGACAGTTATCATCTCTATCATGCATGTTCAATCTCTCCACTGATTCTTTCACATCTGCCTACAAATATGCCCAGGTCTCCTCAATCCTTTAAATAAGACCAAAAACAACCTTTCCCTTGACCTTTCTACCTCATCTATCACGCCATCTCTCTCCTATCAGTCATGAATAAGTGTCTTTTAAAAGATGCCTATAGCCAATGTCTCCATTTCTTCATTTCCTAGTTTCTGTTCAACCTCTTACAAACTGGGCTTCCACTTTCATTGCTTTACTGCAACTCTGAAAAGGTCACCAGTGATTATTCCTAACCTCCATGCCCAAATATTTTGGTCATGTTCCTTGAATTCTCTGCAATCTTTGATACTGCTGACATGTTCCCAATGTTGCTAACCTCCTTCCTTGGCTCTAGAGACACTATATTCTCCTGCCTAACAATCCTCCCACCTCCTTCCTATTTGCCTTCTTCCTGATCCCTTATATTTGGGTTATTCTAGGTCCCTCCTCTTCTCACCCTCTACACTTTGTCCCTTGTCAATCTTACTTATTTTCACAGCTTCAGATACCACCTTTATGAGAAAGGATCTCCTAAATTTCAACCTTTAGCCCTGACATATCTTACATGTCTCTGATTATCACTATGGAAAAAGATTTTCCCCCAGGAACTTATGCATCACTTTAAGTCTCTAACATACTTATATTATTGTACATTACAGATATGTTTATCTTATATCCAGCTACAATACAAGCTTAGAGCACAAGAGTCATGTCTTACCTAAGCTTTCTCTCTCCCAGCACAGTGCTCTGAACTGAGTAGATGCATAACATTTATTAATTGGATGAATAAATTAATAAATGGAGGAAAGATTTTCCTGCTCATTGAATAAACCATTTAGTGGGCATACCTCTAAAGAGTGGCAAGGAGCCTCTTTCTGACCTATAAATTGAAGAGCTAGGCTCAATGTTTACTGTTTTGCTCATAACAATCAAAGTAGAAAGAATAAATTTGAAGGAAAGATGAAAAGTAGAATCCCAGATGGGCAAATTATTACCAAAATCATAAAGTTAGAACATGCAATAAGCATGATCTTACTGTTTAAAAGGAATTAAAACAGCCTTTGGTAAAAAGGTTAAAATAGTTCACTTGAACTCACTAGGTTGTACTTCAATGCTTTAATGAATTTGAGATCTCAATATGAATATTCTGCAAAAATCAAATTGCAACCTACCCACACCTTCTCATTTTATATAACTTTTGTCTGTGCCTTCTTGTAAGTCATCCTTAGGGAGTGTATATAACATGATGTATATAACATGTTGAGAGCCTTTATCTAGATCTCTTGACGTACCAAAGGATCTTTTGGGGTGTTCACTGGTTTTTCCCTTGCTCTTAACCTATAATCTCTCCACCTCTTTTTTCTGGTCATATATCTCTCTGAAAACATTCTTTCTGCTGACTTTCTCACGTAATTTTTCACCAGTTAGAGGTTACTGGTGGATTCACGTCTACCTTCCACTTTTCCATTGTCATTTGAATAGCCTGTAACTTTAATTCTTTGGAGACTTGTATTTGATGACTCACAGCTATTCAATGTCACTGGGAGAACACTGATGTTTGATTCAGTGACTAAAGAATGACTAAGAAAATTTTGGTAAAGGAATTATTTAGAATATCACTGTTCCATAAGAAATAACAAATATTGAGAATTCAAGGAGAAGACATACGAAGTGATGCAGTGAAGTACGAAGAACCAAGAAAACAATATGCACAATGATTACAAAAATATAAATAGAAAGAATAAAAAAACTTAATGTTGTATAATTACAACCAAATTTGGCCCTGGAGAAGAATTGAAAAAATGCAACTCCCTAAGAGTATGGAATATTTCATATACTATCAGCCATGGGTTGATATATTGGTTGATTTAACTAAACTGTTTTTCCCCCTCTTTTCAAAATTCTGAGTTACGCGGAATGCCTTGATGAATAGGAAAGGAACATAAAATTCAAAAACAAGTGATATAAAAACAAAAAATGACAATAAAAAAAGATTTAAAAATTAAAAGATGCACTTCTGTTTCAAGAAGAAACCTGAGGTCATTAAAAGCAAAAGCAAACCAGTCCAATATCCTTCTGCTCAATTCTGGGCTGAGCTCACTGTCTAGCCACAAATTCTATCCAAGGTATATCAACCTAAGGACCAAGCAGATATGTGGTGAACCCAACTGGATATCAGTCTGGACAACAGACATTCTTCATCCATTTGATTATTCCTGTGAAGATATTTAGACTGAATCCTTTTATGCTGATTATTATTTTCATCTAAAAGGCTCAGTAATGTTCCAAGGTTTGATGCTATCAGTATAAAACTGTCCCAAACAGGAGCATTTGGAATATCTCACCATCTATAGGGTATCTCTCTTCCATTTGCACTCTGCACTGGGCATCCTCCATGACTGTGGCAAACACCTTTAGCAAGCATCACTAGAGGATTGAATAAAGTTATCTTTGTTGATACATATTTCAAGGAATCTCACATAATTTTGATATATGCATATGAGATACCTTGTTGGACAAGACCCTTTAAAACATTTCTACTGAATACTCTGTTTTATTTATCAACAACAAGCAGTGGGAATTTCTATTCTATTTACTTTTCAGCATATTGAGAACTGATGTTAAGAGTCATAATGTGATGGCTCTATAGTCACTAATAAGGAAAAAAGTTTACTACAGAAATCTTAACAAATTTTTTTCTATTTTTCATCACTTTACTGAACTTCTAGTTTCATCCTTAAATACCCTTAGGGTGATTTTAGCTTAGATAAATGCCTCACCAAGTTTTCTTTAAACTTGTTTTTTGTTCACGGCTTCTCACAGTTTTTTAAAGCAATACTGTTCATAATCTTCTATCATCGTCCTTAAGATTTTACAACAAATTTATATTCTAAGCCATTGTTGCTTTTGACTGCTCTACCTTTCTGCTTAGTAAGGAGTTCGAGTATTTGCATGTTGATATGGTTTCCCGGCTTTGGCCTTCTAATTGTAGAGACTGATTTACATTGGTTAAACTTCCTTAAATAATGATGATAGTATGTACAAATCTGACTTCTATCCATTTCTCATTTTTTGGCGTCATTTGTTTACATAGGTCAAGGTGGAGTTCCCTCAACTATGTGACATATCTTCCAATTTTTATTCCTTACTTTAACAAGTTAGTGGTCTGAGTGTATAAGGATAGCTTATTTATAAATGACTCCTGCTGCTAATCCAACAAGCAATAATGATCTATTCCATGTTATTAAAATACAATTTCATTTTTGATGTTATTTGATGTTTGCCATATCTAGCATTTCCTGACTCTATTCTCAAAGAAAGTATTTATAACATATAGATCTGGGGCTTCTACATAATCTACATTTTTTGTTTTATTCTTGAACCAAAAAAATATTTTTTACCACTCTCTCTTAAGCCTACCCTTGCACTGCAGTTAATAAGTATTAAAGTATATGTTCATTTAATTCAGAGGGTGACATAGAGTTCTTTGTAGAATTTCTATCATCTTTAACAAATGTCATTATATAAGCTGCAATTATTTTCATGATGATCTTTTCATATATGCTTATTACAAGCACTACAATATGAGAAACCAAGATGTCTCGTTACCTTCAGATACAATATAAAACCAACTCTATCAATTCCTTATTCACCTTTCCTAGGAGAAACTGAGAACTATCCTTCCATTTATGTGTGACTTCATTGTCTTCTGATTTCATTTACAGTGAAAATGTCAAGATTGACATGATTAGGTTTGTCCAGTTTCTTCGTTGGTCATGAGACAAGGATCTAACATTTGGAGTACCTGCAGCTAATTTAGTATTAATAGACAAATTTAAAACTGTGTGATTCTCAGTTTTTCCCATTATGCCACCGTCCTTACAGAGTGGAGGAGAGTTACACAGGAGTGACAGCCATTTTACATTTTCTTTATTTTGTGGGATGTGTGGGCCAAATAATTTATCACCAAGTGGCCAGTCTAAGGGGTGATGACCCTCTGTGTGCTTAGCTAATAGCTAGTCCTCAGGAAGCAGATATAGTCTGTTCCCAAGACTATAATGTAAGTATTTCAAGCATGGTAGACCCTCCCATACCTTGTGCTCTGCTGGCACAAACTCCAGAAACCCAGGGTCACTTCTATGCCATAATGAGGCACTGAAGCAGAATTCTGCAGAAGCAACAAGGTTAACAAATAATTGCCTATACAGACAATTATTAACAAATAAGAGGTCTCAATGCATAAATTAATATTGTAATGGCATGAAAGAGTTAATTTACTAAAATTATCAATATATTCTTATTAAAGGAATTCATATGGACTATATGTTAAAACTTATTTTTACACTTACCTCACTCTAAATGTAAAGATGTTAAAGTAGACTTCACACATGTAAGCAGACAAAGCTACCACATTCCTCTCTCTTTTAGAAATATCAAGAAAGCATTTTAAAATTATCTTTCATTTGAAAGAGAAACCCTATTAGTCTTTCTTTAACTATCAATTGCAAAAAAAGTCTTGCTCTCCTCTCTGATCAGGCCAGGAAAGACTTCTCCCTTGAACTAAGTAGGGCAGTGACTGGATGAGGGCAAAGGGCCCTTCCTTGACTAATCCGCATCGGCAGAATTTAAGTAACAATCAGACTAAGATAAACAAGAAACTTCTGTTATTACTTCAGCTTTTAGAAGTTGGAGTAGTATTGATCAGATGGAAAGGAGCAGCTTTAAAGGGAGTGGTCAAAAAAGAACTAAATGATTTTTAGGAAAACTATTTCCCAAAGGGCATGCTGACATGTAACTATTCTGTTTGAAAAAGCAAACTGTAACAACTTTTACCTTACTCTGAGTTCTGTAGCTATCTTTTATTATACTATAAAATATTTCTTATTCAAGAATCCTATAAATTGGGACTTGTGTTTTACTGACTAATCCTATTCTCCTGGTCCAACTGGAAAATTAAAAAAAACAGTGAATAATCCAAAGTTTTTTTGTTTTTGTTTTTGCTTTACATTTGGTGTTAGAATGCATCATAGGGTGATTTAGGCTGGGGATTTCTGGGGAATGTGGTGGGGTAAAAGGGTTGCCGAGGAAAGGAAGAGAATGGTGTGTAACATATTTACTTTCCTAACTGTAACTGCCTAGTTCAACACTAAAATTAATTTACATTCCCTGAGCACATACAAAGTAACAAAAAAGAGAATTAAATCAGAAATATATTGGGCAGAAGAAGCCAATGTAAGAATAGAAAAAAAAACTGCTTTAAATGACACACACACCACACACACACACACACACACACACACACACACATCATTTTGATGGTTATAGGTAGTATTTGCCCATTTTAACAAACAAGAAATTCTATATAAAGCCCCATGTAGAAAAGAATAAAGAAATTTTGTGGGTCAAATCATATTACCAGTTCCAGTCCTGCTAATACTTCATTTAGTCCTGGTGGCTGACCAATCCAACGGATTACACCAAAGAAAGGAGGATTATCTTTAACTTCAGCCAACGAGCCTACTTCAAGACCATGTGAATTACTTGAGGGTACAGTCAAAGGTGGACTCTCCTGGACAGGGGAGTTGCTTAGCTCTCCCATCACTGACTGAACAGACAGAGACAGAGGACTATGCCCAATACCTCCGTTGGTATTTGGCATCTTTGTCAAACTAAATGGTAAAGAGTGAAATCTGTTCTCGTTGGTTGAAGAGTTCATAGAAGGAGGTTGCAGAGGTGGTGAAGAATGTCCAAAATCTGGAGATATATCTGTCAGGGATTTTGCAGGATCTTCAGCAACTATAAAAAATAAGTTACTCTTAATTAGAAAATCAACTCGAGTTTTATATTTTTTCTTATATCTTTAAAAAATATATTTTATAGCCTCTATAGTTGAATCCACTATACACAAAATAATTTACCATAATACTATTATATTGCAACCAAAACTCAAAGGACTCCTTTCCATTTAAAGACAGATTTAAGTAGGGTTTTTGGGGGGTTTTTTGGTTTGGTTTGGTTTGGGTTTGGGGTGTGTGTGTGTGTGTGTGTGTTGTGTGTGTGTGTGTGTGTATTGTTGTGTGTGTGTGTGTGAAGAGAGACAGAGAGAGAGATTTCACATCTTCAACTTCATCCTCTTAAAAATGAAATTACCTTTCACGAATTTAATTTAACCAAATTCTAACAGAAATGGTTTGGGCTAAGTTAAAGTACCCTACCACAAAGTGGAGACTTACTAGCTCTAGTATAACATAGATAAACAAGCACTAGACAAAGAATTGTTTGGATTTTTTTTTGCTCTGGATCCATGATAAAATCATGGAAATCACAAAAGAATATACCTCCCTTGAATTATCGGAACAATCATTTTGCTTTATTAAAATTTCTTGCCCTTGGAAAAGATCATTACATAGAAAAAGCATTAACAAATCTTATAAGAGAAAAAGAGATGAGAAAATGAAATCAAAATCAAATTTGTTCACATACATTATTGATATATAATAATGTAATTGACTTGTTACAAAAGTATTCAAAATATAGTGCTAAAAAGGAGCAAAATTAGAATAGCTAAGGTCTATTTATCAAATGTCTTATAGGATGGTTTTGGTTTCTAATACTTAAACATGCAGAATGATCTTCCAAAAGAGAAAGAAATCCATGCTGATTAGAACTTTCAACAGAATTACATATGGACAAATATTTCAAACTTTTCTTTCTTCACAAACTCCGAAAGACAATCATAAATTATTTACCACATAGTGTCCAATATTCCAGAAATGCTGCTGTGCTTAAAAATTGAGGTAATGCCATTTACATGATTCATGAATAAACTCATTATATGGTAGAATGGTAGGCACATCCAAAGTCAAAAAAAAAAAGCCCTACACAACAATAATAATAGCTGTAACTTCCCAACAAAGGGACTTTCTGTCCATGAAATGTCCTACAGAAGAGAAGAGCAGTGCTCTTGAAACTACGGATTCAATTATGGCAGGTAGGTAGCAGACATGAAATTTAATGCCTATAGAGAAGGGAGGGGATGACTTCTCTGAAGTGTTGACATAAATCCCCTATATTTCAGAATGATAAACGAGACCAGAAAACTAAGTTATTTCAGGAACAATAAGATCAAAATAATAATGGGATCAGTTGTTTGTGATTATCTAAATACCAATTGGACTAACACACTCACCTTACGGGCTAATCATGAAATATCAGTCTCATATATAATACCAATTTAGAGAGAATGTGATTTAGCTTAGATGATAATGCAAGATTCTACTGCATTTTTTATTCTTATTTCAATAATCAAAGTTTGTCTTCAGCTGAAATGTGTGTACATGTGTGTATTTCTTACTTTTTCAGATTTTTCTCTTCCCGAATAAATAAACCAAAAAAGAAGGAAAACAAAATTACTATTGAATACTTTGAAATACTGCCTTAATTAAATTCAAAAGTAATCCAAATCTAAGCCAGTATTTTCATTTTATAAATATTAATACAGTGTTCATTGTGGTCTAGTCATTTTGTTTATGAAAAACTACATAAATTGAAAAAAACGAGGGGAAAAAATGTCACTCTATTTTCCACCCTAATGAGCTAAAAGATGGATAGGATTACTAGAAGAAGAAAAAAAAACTTTAAAAAATTCCAAATTACCTTCATCAATGTACCATGTATTTTTTGATTTGGTTTGTGGTTGAGAATAAACAGAACCACCATTTAAGGTGTAAAATAATTCAGATCTGCTTCTATTTCCAGGGTCTGAGGTAGATCCTATGGATCAAGAGAAGTTCCTTTTTAAAACTCCAAGATTTGGTGAAAGAAAGAAAAAAAGCTATGTAGATCTACATGCACACAGAGTCAACAACCAATTACACAATCAATAGATACACAAACACAACATTATTCTGTTGTTTTCAATTTTAAAACTTTGTTACCATTTTGGTAATGCCAAAAAGATTCATACGCTCAAGTGTCAATATGGGAGAAGGGAATTAAGAAAAACCTGGTCAGTATTATTTTGTAATCTAATTTCCTAATATCAGGTGAAAAAACTAGGTCTATAAGAATTTTATTTTAAAACAGTTCCTTATTTACATAAAAACTATGCTTCTCAGTTTTTCTACAACCTATTTCACCATTATGAGTGCATTAAAACAAAGAAAAGATTCAGTAACTGACTTCATTTAATTTTTTAAAAATCAGCCTTTGAAACTACAGGTTACAAAATTCCTTTCTTAGTTTCTTCATGCACTGAATGAAAAGTAGCACAATATTATTCAGGCAATGCTGTAAAGACTTCATTAGCATAGTCCTGCCTGATCCCCATCCTGCAGAACATACCCCCTGAGGAGTCAAAAGCAGTGAAATCTCCAGGATCTACTCAAAATCTGATTTTCTTTGATAAACCAATCAATAATTACACAAAGTAGTTTCAGTTTGGGTATTTTAGAAGTCTGTCATCAGACTAACACAATTAAGCATATATATAGATACAACTAAGATATCTGTGTACATATATACATAGAGAGAGAGAGAGGGAGACTGGGTGGCTATTAAAAAATAATGAACTGTCTAACCCAAAATACAAAAGTTTCATATCCTTTTTGAGTTACAGATCAGTCAATATCACATAGGATCCAAGACCATACAAAGTCCAACATACTTTGAAGCATTTTTGTGCCCAAAGTATCTCTACAATATACTTTCCTCTAAAATGATTTACAATAGTATCATTTAGCTGATATACCCCATCCTAACCCATATTAAGAATCTTATGCAACTTTTCAATACTTTAAAAAGATTCAGCTAATTGATGTATAACTACCACCCACGCAGTACCTACAATACCTAATATTTTTTAATGACATCTCCACAAATACACAATACACATATACACCCAACAGGAGCACAGTATGAAGGAGTTTCTGTGGTCAGTGGCTAGATGTGTTTGGGAAGGAAAAGGCCCACATATTCCAGAGGCCCAGAATTTTACCTGTCCTACTGATGGTTAGTAAAGTTCATATGGTTATCATTAAGATACTTCATCTTATGCAAAATAACACATCTGTGAATAGTGTATATGAATAAAGCACTATATAAGTGCATAAAGCTCTATGTACATGTATTATTACAAATAATAATTTTAAACCACTAAATTTACAATTCCAAATTGTTTTTCACAATGTTTCAAGTCAAAGGTACCCAAAATTAGTCAATTTTGATTGACAGGCCTTAAAACCTGACCTAGCTGATTATGCTCAAGCAATAGCTGTATCCTTCACCACCCAGGCCCCAGTGACCGTTTTCATCTGCTAAAAAGGCTGAAAACCCTAGCCTCAAGTCAAAAATTTCATACAAATTTTCTTCCATCACCAGAAATTAAGAATAAGTAGCTCAATTCTGACCTCTGTTAGTCTCTAATATCAGAATCACATGTTAACAGAAACTCTCATTCTATTAAAGCATACCTGTAGCCTTTGGTTTACTATGACTGGATAAACTTTTATCCCCACCACCTCTTGGCATAAACGCAAGTTTGGGAGGCCTTCTTTCTTGTGTCACACTATCTGAAACATTAGATATGTTTTTCAAGTCTTCAATTTTAAGAAATGTATTAAAGCAAAAACAGTAAAAATCAAGCAAAAACTATTTCTACAGTAGATCAAACAAAAGTCAATATTTATAGTCAATTTGTCACAAGTTTACAATTTTGTGGATTCCACCAAAGATACAAAAAGTGTCTTACCTTCAAAGTCTATTACAAGAAGCTATAGTCAGAAGAAACAATAGTCCTAACTTTATTTTGAAGGTGAGAAAACGGAGGGTCACAAAGAAGGGAAGTTACTTGCTCAGATTTATACTACTAATAAAAGAGTAAAGTCAGGACCTGAACCCAGGTCTTCTGATTCTACATCTAGTATTTCCTGCACTAAATCACGTTTTATCTTTAAAATTATACTGCCTCTCTGCCTAGAAGGTGGGGCCATGAATTCCAAACCCTCCATTTAAGGGAGGGAGCTCAGCTGAGACATCTCATTTCTCACATGGTTGAACTCCTTTTGGTCTTGGCTGACTTCTCCACCATGCCCTGGAAAGCTCCTTATTGGGAACTTTCAATATCTCATCAGCTCTGGTATTTCACTTTATCATCACTTTCCCTTTCCCTCTCCCTTTTTAGCTTCCTTTTTGTATACTGCCATTCTCCCTTTAGATGATAAGCTCCTGGAGGGCAGGGGCTGCCTTTCTTTTAGCTTAGCAAGTACCTGGTACATAGTTTAATAAATGTCTTGAAAATGTTATTCCTACTCAAAATTTTTTAAAAAGCCAAAACTCATCCAGCTTAATAATGACATCATCTTTTCAAAGCTTAGCCATTTGTAAACATACTCAGTCTGGTATTTAAGATTACAAATAAAAATTCATGCACAGTTTAGGATTTTAAAATTATTCAGAATTTAATTATGTGGTGAATATAGATATAAGTGTAATATGTAAAACACACAGGCATATGCACATAAGTTAGCATCCAAAGACAATAATAATTTTTGTAGCAGATTTCCTAATGTAATTCTAAGAAACACCCATAAAGTTTTACAAAGTCACATTTAGCACCAAGACCAGTACAATATCATAAATTCTATTTTGAGTTAAATATTCAATATATTGAAAAGGCATCTGTGTAAAAGTCAATATGGAAACACAGTCCCTGAAAAAAATCTATATTACATTCCACAAGATGTATGTAATACTTAAAAATCATACCTGATAAAGCTGTAAATCAGCCCAAATCATATCATCCAAGGTAGAATTTGGAAGATAGGAAAAAATGGGGAAAATTTACATTTTAACACAAGGAAAAGCCACTGTTAAAATGTGATAGAAGGAAATCATATTATATCAGTTAGCTCCAATTAATGGTTGGTCATTTTTCCAGTGAGGAAAAAGTACACATTTTAAAGTACCACACTGCATTTACTATAGTAATTAGCCTCAACTAGATGCTTGAACTTTTAAGTAAATTGCAGCACAGAGTATTTCTTTTAATTTACAAATTAAACTGGTAAATTACTTCAAGCCTATGACAAATTAAAGAGGAAAAAATGCTAAGTACAATATTAATCAATCAAAAAAAGCAAAAAAGACATTTTCTTGGATTCTCCCAATATAGTAAATGGCATAGCATATCATAGATGTTCAAGTGCAGAAAATAACAGAAAGTCACACGCTTCAAAATACATCAGGGAAATTGACTGAGAATAGTCTTATTATTAAAGACAATTAACTGATATAAAAGACCCCAAAAGCTAGTCAATCCCAAGTACATGACATAAAAAACATACACATTAAATATTAACATACACAATTAAAAGTAATAATACTAATTACCACACTAACTGTTGTTATATTTTTTCCCTCTCCTTTCTCTTGGCTGCTCCTATGGGAGCAGTGATAGCCCCTGTCTCACAAGATGACAAATATAGGTGCAGCTCGTATGTCTGACATTTGATTCCCAAAGAAAGCATGTATTCAACATTTATTAATGTAATGCCAGACAAAGGCTTGACAATTATTGTTTATTTACAATCCACAAAAAAATAATGTGGTAAAGAACAAAATGCATTGGCAAGACATACAACAGAAATATAAATGGCATATTGGGGGAGGGGATAGCAAAGAAATAGTTAATTACTACTGAAAACTCTTGGATGATTTAAATTTCAAAACAAATTGGAATATGGAAAACTACACTGAGAAAAATACAAATGATGCAGAGTAGAAAATACTTCAAATCTTTCTTCTATACTTGGAGTGTTCTATGCTGAGGAAAACACTATCAATTATACATGAGCTAAACTTCACATTTTGGTTCTTTTTTCTTCCTTAAAATACATACTAAAAATGGACAATTTTCTGAGACTTCTAGTGCCCTCAATATGCATTCATTTTTAAATTTTAAAAAAATCAAAGAAATTTAAACAAAGTAGGCTAAGTTTAATAAAATCAGCTTTTTTCTCTTAGCAATAAAAAAAAATGCAGTCAGAAAATTATTATTTCCATAAGATACAGAAAAAAAAACCGAAGTATGCTATAAGTCCCTGAACATGTTTCTGAATTGGTTCAGAAAGCTCACAATTTACCACGTAATCTTAAAGAATAATATTGGATAAGAGATTTATAACTGGAAAGAACCTTAGAGAGCTTATCTAGTCCAGCCTTCATTGTACAGATAATGAAATTGAGGGAGTGATTTCCCTGAGGTCACATGAGCAGCAAAAGAACTGGGATGTGAACTCAAATCCTTTAACTTCAAACCTGGCACACCTTCCCCTAACTTATTCTGCTTTATTAATTCAATTTACCAGTTACTATTAAAAATCTTAATAAAAGTATATTTTGTATATTTTACAAGAAACACTACACTTTGGTTGAGATGAACTTAATGTCTCATTATTGGGATAACCTCAACATCATGCAAGATCTCATCACACCTCATTACTATTCTCTGCCTCTCTGATTGGTGGCTGTAGCCATGAACTCTAAACCTCCAGTTAAGGAAAGAAAGTTCAGCTTAGGCATCTCATTTCTCACCTGGCTACATTACTTTGGGACTTCTCTAACTGACTTCTCCACCAAGCCCCAGGAAGTCCATTATTGGAATAACCACATCATCTTATAAGACCTCATCTGCCTTGCTATTCCAATTCTGGTAAATCTCCCAACTCCTTTTAGCTTCCTTTTGTGGGTTGTCTTCTGCCATTAGATTATAAGCTCCTTGATGGTAGGGACTGTCTTTCTTTTTTCCTATTTGTATCCCTGGCACACAGTAAGTGATTGATAAATGTTTACTGACTATTGTTTATTAACATGATCAAACAGCTAACTCCTAAAACTTGAGAAAATTAATTTACACTTAAAAATGGCACTCATAAAAAACTTTTGCACTAATGATGAATTATTTTTCAGGTTTCATCATTTTAATTTTGTTAATGTAGTGATATGTTTTGTTTTAATATGACAGTTCCCTGGGTTGCATCTGTTTGGGAAGCCAGGAGCTTCCTGGAAGCTATTGAGCAGAACCCACACGACCAATTATCAGGAACGTCACAGAGGCCTCCTGGTTTTCTTGACTTCCTTCAAGTTTCAGCTAAAATCCAAGCTTCTACTAGGAAGCTTCTCCCAGTCCTGCTTAATGCTAGTCTTTTCCTTCTCTTGATTACTTACAATTTATCCTGTATATTGCTTGTTTGCACATAACTGTTTACATGTTATCTCTCCTTCTTAGAGTGTGAACTCCTTGAGAAAAGTAAATGTCTTTTGCCTTCAGTGTATCCCCAAGTGCTTAGCACAAAGCCTGGCACAGAGCAAGTGTTTAATATGCTCACTGACTTGAAAAAAAATATATAATTCCCAACAAACCCCCTTACAGGAAAGTTTTATCAGTAACTATTAAGAAATATTAACAAATTATTTACCAATTAACAGAAAGGAAGAATATTTCTTTGATAGTACATTACTAACATTGACACTGTTTGTGAATATTTCTTTGATAGTACATTACTAACATTGACACTGTTTGTGCCATAATTTTTTACTTCTCAATGTTGTCTTTATTTATATAGTTTTGTGTTCACTATTCTTTTGTCTTTTACATAGCTATTCTTTTTTGAAAGCCTGTTTCTTACACATTTCTAATGTCTACCCGTGGATAGAGAAAAAAGTAACTAGTCATAGAAAGGATAATAAGATAGGAAGGCCCTCCATCTTTTAGAGTCCATTAGAAAATATCTGTGTGACCTTGGATCAGCCTCAATTTTCCCATATGTAAAATCAGGAAAACAATAGCACCTACTACACTAGATTCTTGTGGGGATCAAAATCAAATGAGAGACTATATAAAAGTGCTTTACAAAATTTAGAGCACTATAAATGTTAATTATAATTAATATTACTGTATATCTTTCTGATTAGGTGACAATAAGACAACCCATGAAAATACCCTCTTTTATTTATGAACAGGTCTCATTTATACTAACTGTAATAATCATCATACTAATGATGGTAGATCATGGATTTGACTCTTACGTGGCTTTATTCTGCTCCATGGCTACAGGCTTACAGCCTAAACTCGGTCAGGTATCACAGAAAAACATGCCATTGATCATAAGAGAAAAAGGATAGATGAGAATGGATGGATCTGAAAAAGTCCATCATCATAACCATAAAAACAACTCAAAGTCTGTACCTTACTAAGAGGGATCTTTCTATTCACCTTTTTATTGCATCATTTTTCTACTGTTACAATGGTAGGACAAAACAGCATGGGTATAATCATTATGAAATCAAAGATATCCACATATACTACTTGTTTTTGTATTTTGCATACTTATTTTAAAGAAACCATAAAGTATCCTAGAATTTCTAAACAGACTTTTACAAATGATTATATATTAGAAAATACTAAAGAAATACTATATTAAAATATAGGATCTAAACTTGACATTTCTAGGTTAAATAACTTTTAAACACAAAAGTTATTAGTGAAAACATAAAATGTATGAGAATGTTTTTTGTCTAATGCAAAATTCTTGTTTCTAAAGTATAGGAAAGGAATAGCCAAGATTCTAATTATTGGAATAAAAAAATGATTCTTAAGAATTCAAGTACATAAAAGTATCTCAGACTATAAATCAAAAATGGGATATAGCAACCAACCATTTGTCTCATGCCTTCTATAATATACCTCCCTTTGTAACTTAGAAAATCCAGTGAAAAAGTATTGCAATTTTTTAAGGTCTTGCCCATCTTTAGCCTCCTTAAATATTACTTGTCAACCCAACACAAAAGGAATGACCAATCATTAGGAGTTGATCAATTTGTCACAAAGTTACAGCTGAATAAAACTTAAGAATTATCTAATTCAGTTCCTGCATTTCATACATGAGAAAACTGAGGCATTGAGAAGAAACAGAGAAGCAATTTAGAAGTTTTAGTCATGCCAAAAATAGCATTAGGGCCACTGGAATAAAAATTGCTTCAGGAGAACTAGAAACAAAATATCACTATAGGAACAGCTGCTTAGGCATAGGGATAGGGACTGATCCTGAGACTTCATTGGTTTAGGGAACTTGCAGATAAATTCTTTTTTTTTTTTAGCAGACAGTATTTTATTTTTTTCCAATTACATGTAAAGGCAATTTTTCACATTAATTTTTATATAAAATTTTGAGTTCCAAATTTTCTCCCTCTCTCCCTGCCTCCCTCCCCTAGGATGACTCTTGGAAACAATTAAAATTGAATGGGTGATCCTGAGCAAGTCTCTTCACTTTTCTGTGCCTCACTTTTCTAATTTGTAAAATGGGTGGGTGGGTAGAGTCAGAACTGATGACCTCTAAAGTTCCTTCTATACAGGGACAGATAAATTCTTTCTACCATTGCAGGTCAGCCTCTAGGGTTAGCCAGGGCATTGAGACCTGCCCAGGGTCAGACAGACAGTAAGTGTGGCTAAACAAGTAATCTGTGTAACCTTCAAATATTTCCATGCCAAGTTCATCCAGAAGATGTACTAAAACTCCAAGTCACTGCTTGCAGGGTTTGTCATCTTCTACAACTCAACTATTTTTTATTCATGAACCATATGATGTACCTCAACAAATATCCTCAACTTTTGGTTTTATGTTAATATTAAAGATAACATTCTATACAATAGAAATGCAAAAAGCAAGATTAAGACTTGGTTAATATTTTAATAATTAGGCATTTAATATGCCCAGAGTACTTCATAGCTGACCCAGAGAGGATATATACTAGGGTAAAGGAACTTGCTGTAGAAATTGCTTCCTTCATTCCACTATCCACACCCCTTCCTCCCACTGGCCAGAGAGAAAGAGAAAGAGAGAGAGAGGGAAAGAGGGCCATAAGTTGGGCTGTTTATGATTTACAAAAAGTACAAGTTTAAAATCTTTATAGAAATATTGAGAATTAAACATAATATAATTGTAGTATAAGGAAAGATGAATGATAAAGGTATACATCCCACCTGACTTCTAAAAAGTAAGAGCAGTATTTGTCATTTGTTTTATGGTAACAAAGAAACTTTTTATGTAATTACGGTACTATAATCAAAAAACAAAAGCTGAAATACGTGCTAATTGGAAAGCTACTATAAGGTTTTGGGCTTTATACAGGACATTTGAATATACAGACTGTTTTTTAAATATATAAAACATACCTGGGATGATATGATTGATATGCAACAGAAGTGTACTTTCAACACTTGCAAAACTACAAAGTTGTATCCCATTGAATCTTCCATCCCAATTTCCAATAGGATTATCCTGGAAATACAAAATAAAAACATACTAAAAACTGATTCTATTTTTTTTAAAAATGCTGAATACAGAAATTTACATTTTCAGTTTTATGTTAGGCCAGAAATTTTTCTTTAAATAATTTCATCTTTTGGGCTTAAGAGGAAAATTGATAAAATATGAGAAGCTTTTATAAAAGGACTATCATCACACTTTAGAAAATGTAATCCAAGAACTGTTGTAGTAAATCTATAGGGCAAAGTATCTAAATTTTTCTTCACATTTTACCGTACAATAATATATTTCTGCATAACCATGTTCTCCTTCTACAAATTACAACATTAACATTAACATGGATAAAAATTGTTTCCAAAATCAGATTTTTTTCCCTCCTCCAGAAATAACTCTCTGATTAAAACTGTTCCCATTCTGATTACTTGTTAACATCTTTTTAGTACTTTTAAATATTTAAATTTAAACATAAAATTTGCATTTTGTTATTCAAGGCACAACATAAATAATACTTTAAAAATACGTGAGAGCACAGATGTGTTAAGATCTGCACTGTTGGAAGGACTGATGAGATCACAAGTCTACCAAAGTAATACTATGTCTTATTCTGCATTTTGGGGGTACAATACTTTGAAACAATTCTATCATTTCATGTATTTCAGCTTTGTTTCCCCAAGTAAGGAATAAGCTCCTCCTGGGGAGGATGCTTATCTTAGATATAACTCCATAATACCTAGGGCAGTGCCTTGAATATAATACATAATAAATGTTTATTTACTATTATTTATAATGTAGAACACTCAAAGTCAATTGATCATAAGAGCAGAAAGACTTAGAAAGCCCAAGATCTTCCTTTTGCCCATCAAAAATATGCCTAAACTACCAAAGTCAGGTTTTCTAAAAAAAAATATAACAAGTGAAGATTCTACAACCTCTTATTCAGGGATTTAATAGCTCTATATTAAATTCTTTCTTATGTCTAAGAAATTCTCCACGTTGAAGTTTAAATCCTTTTCTCTCTTTTAGTGTAAAGCAGAGATGAAGAACAGGTCTCCTTTAAACCGAAAAACTAAAAGCATGCTTTTATCCTTCTTTCTTTTCTCCTAAGTAATGCTATAGCTAAAATCAAATTTTCCATATAGGAATGTATTAGTTGTTCTGAGTACCGTTTTACTTTTTTATTACTCTTACCTCAAAACAATAGCAACATTCAAAATTACCTCTTTTAAAGTGCTTGTTCTTATATTACATGACATTTTCTCATACTCAAAAGCAAATCCTATGTAAGTAAACCAATACAACACTTTTCATTAAAGCTAAATCTTAACCCCAAAAGTGGAGAAATGCCTCAATGACAGACAACAAATACAGGATTAAACTCTTGGATTAAAAGTGAAAGAAAACAATATAATATGATGAAACAGGCATAAAGTTATTTTGAAAAAGTAAAGTGGAAGAATTAATCAACGTCACAATTAGATAGAATGGACTCTATTACATAACCTACATTCCTGACTTCTTTTAATATTCAAATTCCCCAAAGTCGGTTATACTTAGAAAACACTTTTAAAACCATACCCCATGGATGTTCCACCTTAAACATTCAACAGGCAGTTTTCTTGCTGATTTAATAAGCAGCTTGAACATTCAACTAATACATATTCAAACTCCCAGAAAATTAAAATTTAGAGTTTCTTACCATGTCAACTCCAACAAAGTATCCTAAATTCTCTTTTCCTGGCAAGACATCACAGAATATAACTGTTCCAGATTCTATACCTTCTCCAACCTTCAAAGAAACTCTGGAGTTTATTTCCAAAGGAGGAAGTTCAACCTGCATCACATCAACTGGACCTGCATAATCACTTTCCAATGCATTGTCATCATCTTCTATAAGCTCTAATTTGTCCAAAGCCACAAAGACACCACAATCTTCATCACATCGGAAGAGCTGTTTCCCTTGGTAAACTCCATCAGTGAAACCTTGACCACGACCTTCTTCCTAGATTTAAAGAGAGAAAAAAAATCACTATAGGTAATATTGGAGATCATTTTAGAAAAGTCCAAATGCAACTAGTAAAAATATGCAACAACAGTTGTCTAAAGCTCAGACAGTTACCTGACTGAAGGCAAAAAGACTGTCTGTAGATAGAGAGAAAATACAGTAAAAGTTATAATTCAATGTATTTACATATGAATGGATTAATTACTTCATAGTTTTGACAGTATCTAAAGAACTAAATAAATATCTGTGAATAAACATTCTTTTCTTTATTCATTTTTTTTAACAATTAACAGGTAAATATAAATGATTCCATTCACAAAATGGTAAAAATGCAAAGCTCATGCAACTGAAAAGTATAACTGGCATTTAGCTTTGTACAATATGATATCCTTTATAAATAAACACAATAAATAAATATTTGCATAATCATCTGGCATGTTTTAATAACCACTAATATTTTGTAAAATAATCAACTTACATGTTTACATGTGTATAAAATCATGATTTTTAAAGTGTTTTCATGTACATTACCACCCTTAATCTTCAAAACTAGCACATGAGAATTTACAGATGAAGAATCCAAAGATCAGGGAATTAAGTGGTTTGCCCAAGCTCATTCAGTTCATGAGAAGAGGAAATTGGGATTAAAATCTAGCTTTTCTGAGTCAATTCAGTACTCTTTCTACTATACCTTGCTGCTTCTCTGCCTATCTAGAAGAAATGATTTAAAGATGATTTTCCCAAATAGTCCAAGGTGAGACAACTGTCAAGCTACTACAGTTTATAGCAAAGTTTCGTCCAGATTATCCCCATATGCCAGCTTATGTGTAGTAGCAGTAGTAGTAGTAGTAGTAGTAGTAGTAGTAGTAGTAGTAGTAGTAGTAGTAGTAGTAGTAGTAACAAAAACTAGCATTTATGTAGCACTTACTATATCTCAGGCATTGTGCTCTCTTTTCAAACATTATTCATTTGATGTAACCCTGATAGGTGGGTACTATTATCATCCCCAATTTACAGTTCAGGAAACTGAAGCAAATAGACATTAAGTGATTTGCCCAGGGTCACACAGCTATTAAGGGTCATATTTGAATTCAGGTCTTCCTGACTTACTTAACTTCTATATGATTTTTATATAACAAGAGAGAACAGTGTCTGAGAAATGCCTCAATGATTCATCTTAATACATTTAGGAATGTATTTAATTGATCAATCAGTTTGCAATTCTGGTATAGTTTTAGTAGAATTCATTTTTTTAAATTTATCAGAAATTTCAGAGACAAGATTTTAAATATTGTTGTTTATGTTTAACTGTATTCTCTATTGTAGCTTTGAAGTAAGTCATTCTGAAATGTCCAATATAGCATTACATTTTTGGTCCTAACAATCAGGCCCTAAAAGACCTCAGTATATCCCTGGGGGAAAGAATACAAATCTAAAGAAAAATGACAATTAAACACAAAACTCTTGTGAAAAATCTTATTTTATTTTTAACTATATACTTCAACACCCTCCCCCCACCAAAACCAAAAAACAAAACATACTACACATTCCAAAAATTGCTTGTCACACTTACCAGCAACTCTACTCCAAAGAATATTCCCGACACTGTCCTCTCCGTTAACAAGGGTCCTCTGAAGCGTACAACTCCAGGAAATTTTTCTTCCCCAGATCTCAGCTGTACTTTCACAGGGCATCCCACATCTATTTGAAGGCCTTTACTTAGTCTGCTTCTGTTTTTAAACAGACTGTATCTTTCCTCACAATTGGTAATTGCCAAAAGCAATTCAGTGAATTTTTCATTTATTTCTACCACATCCTTCTCATCCACAAATAGGACTGCATGTGGCTGCTCCAAAATTTTTAATCCAATATGATTTTTCTTGCCTTTAGAAAGAGGAATTCTCGAATGCCCCAAAGAGCGATCTTGAATATATTGTCCTATACTCCCCTTTGGTACTTTAAGAATCTTTTGTTTGTCTGAAACACTGCATTCTTGAAGAAGCAAATAAAAAATCCGTTCTTCCAAAAAGGGTGAAGTAACTTTTTCTTGGCTCCATAAGCCTGAATTCATTGTGATTCTAAGTTTGAAAGATTAATTCAAGAAAAAGGAATCACTAGCATATTTGCAGTAAAATGTCTCCCCCTCCCCAACAAAAAAAAAAAAAGAAAAAAACACCTTCACTGGCAGTCTCAAGCTTTGGTTTTAGCAAACTGATATCCATTTTTCTAAAAATACTCAAATCAAAAAGCCTAGAGGACAAGCAAAAAGAAAATTTTAACTTTTTTCAACATAAACTATGATAAAAGTTATATCACTTTTATTATGATTATGAACATGTGTGTACTTGATGTTACCCTAGGAATATTTCAAATATATCCAGGAATAAAGGATTTGTACATATGTGTATTATAAATACATGTATATATACCAATACATAGGCACATATTCACATGTATTTTATAAAAGTATAATTTTGTGATTTTAAATAACTGACTAGGGAAATAAGTGGCATACCTTATTGCAACATCAAGTGGGTTAAATCCTAGTATGGTAGTACTCACAAATTCAATTTGTAAAATTCAAAGATATAGGGAAAAAATCTTGAAATCTCAAATTTACATAGAAATTTTTTCAATTTTTATTAACACAATCATCAAATTCTAAGTTTTAAAACAAGAAAACATTTAACTCTGCTAAGACTTATTAAGAGTAAACTTATTTTGACATGAAACCTATAAAAGGTTCATATATTTAAAAGAAAGCCTAACACCTGTGTTCTACAAACGTTATGTAATTAAGAGATGGCTACTAATACTATATACACTGGTTCAAGAGTTTGTAATTTTTATATGTATGTGTATGTGGAGGGAGAGAGAAGGGGCACATATGTTCATCTTGGAGCAGGGAACTCACTTTCTAAAAATCATAGAATCTGACCTGGAAAGGACATTATCTCCATTCAATTTAACTCCAGTCCCACTCTCACCCTAATTTTACATAAGAGGAAACTGAAGCCTGAAAGGTAATACGATTTACCAGAGATCACATGGCTCTTACTTCACATATTCTGAACTAACCACAACTAATTTTTTTTGTACGTCATATTTTGGTCAATGGAACATTTTACCTCTGAATCATTAGTATCATTTCTCTAATCTTAAAACATTTTATGCCTAAGCTATTTTTTTTCCATTTTTTAACAGCCATGGAACTAATTTATGTCATAAAAGGCCTCCTGGAAATTGTAAAAATATATAGCCTCATTACTATTTTATCAGGGGCTTAATTCCTAAAACATTTTTAATAGAACAAATTCGTAGGCTTTGATGAGAATAACTGTGTCTGCATATATCCTTTTTATAATAAAATGGCTGTTCAATTCCTGAGAAATAACAATTATAACAGCTAACCTGCTACTAACTAGGTCATACTACTAACATAGCACCTACACTGTGCCAGACACTGTGCTAACCTCTTTAAAAATATCATCTCATTTGATCCTTAAGACAACCCTGAGAGGCAGGTGCTATTATCCTCACTTGGCAGATGAAAAAAATGAGGAAAACAGAGGCGAAGTGGCTTGCCCAAGGTCACACAGCTAGAAAATATCTGAGGCCAAAGCTGAATTCAGGTCTTACTCATTCTAGGCCTTGTTCTCTACTCATTGTACCACCTACCTGCTCAGTATATGACTGTATCTGTTCTACTTGTGATACAAATGTCCATTTCTCTTTTCTGCATAATTTATAGTATCCCCATATTCCCCAGATCTATTCAATTCTTAACTAGGTCTTGTTTATGAAATACAATAACCAAATTTTAAAGTTCAATCAAATTAAAAAGGCCAAGCAAATTTATGCATAAAGTACTTCACTGACAAAGCACTGTCAGGTAATAAGGTACTCCTACAAGTCAATTCTCCACATAAGGGAAGCTGAAATTCTCACAAACGTATCATATAGTTCAATATCTTATTCAACAGAGTGGAAGGTACATTAAGTTAAACTTTTTGATGATGACTGGGGGTCATCTTTATGAATGAATTGTGATACCATGCTATAATGTAGTAACCAACTCAAGGACCTAATGGATATGTTGCCCATACGTCAAATGGTGGCAGATTAATTTTATTTTAGCCTCGGATTCTGCTTTTTACAGTTTTTCTATCTTCCCTTTTGACATCTGACTGTCACCTTTTGCTGCCTGCCTGCCTCTAGAAGCCAGCACTCTCTCTTTTTAATATGCAGCTTTTGAGCTATACAGAGATAGGAAGCTACATAAGGAAGCTTTCAAGCTTTGTATGAAAAACAAAAATATAAAGGCTCTGAGAGAAGGCCTGAAGAGGTTTTCCATGAATTAAAATGTATGGGTATTTTTTAGCTCATGGAATATGCTTGGAGGATCCTCTCTCTCCTGTTTTCCCTCAAGCCTCAGCATTCTCAGCTCCATGCAAACTAAGGTTACATCTCGATGAGCTGAGATTATCATTTTTAAGTGTGTGTGTGTGCATACACATACACAAATTGAAATGGATTTAAATACAGCTACTGTAGCATTTCTGGTAATGTTTTTGAAAGAAATCATGTAAATCAAGTTCAAACTTAATTGTGAAAAAACATAACATTATTTTCACTATTTTTATATACCAGGAACCTTATTTAGCATTGGCAACTATTTGTATATAAACAATGCTCATAATTTACAGTTCTTTATCTTAAACGTTTGAAGTCACAATTTGAAACTGTTTATGACAACTAATACATTAGTGACATTTAGCCAAATTAAAATATTCGGTTATTGAATTGACTATTTTGTCATTGTTGCTGGTCAGTCATTCAGTCATGTCTGACTCTTCATTACCCTGCAGATCATAGCATGCCTATGCCGTCCGTGGGTTTTTTCTGGCAAAGATACAGGAGTGGTTTGCCATTTCCTGATCCAGTAGATTAAGGCAAACAGAGGTTAAATGACTTGCCCAAGCTCACACAGGTAGTAAGTGTCTCAGCTCATATTTTAACTCAGGTCTTTCTGACTCTAGGCCCAGTGTTCTAACCACTGAACCACCTAGCTGCCTCATTGTGTCATTAGAAAACTATTAAAAATTAGTTGTATAACTATATTCTTTGCTTGGAATTTCTCAAATAGATTTGTGTCTTCGTAGGATGAGAGAGAAAAAATTATTTGAAAAATCTACAATCTATAGAAAATGGGACTGATCTACAGAAGATGAACAATCCCCAGGTACTAAGAAAATGTATTGGACAGATATTGATAAACATCACTTTTCTATTTCCACTTAGGATAATATAAGTGGGAATGAGCATATTGGAGCAGATGTTGGCAATGTGTATATATATGTATATATGTATAAAGCATTATCAAGAAAGGCTAACGTCTCTTCTAAACATTTTTAAGTAAAATTTAGGTTTGTAAGACCTGTGCTTTGCTGAACATGAAATGGGGAGAAAATGATGGCTCCAAGAATTCAGAAATCCAATAACTTTGGCAAAACACTACTTATAATCTTGGAACTATAATATGATAGAGTAATATATTAATTGCATGTTACAAATAACATATTGATTAATTTCATGCCTTCCTTACATGAAATATGGAAACAAGCAGAATACCAAGCAACACAGAGAGCTTTGTAAACTAAGAGTTTCAGGAGTTGAAGTGATAGTTTCCACTAATAAGCAATGCTAATGAAAACTGCATTAAAGTTAGGTTTAAATTGGAAAGAAAATTATTTACTGAATGTCTACCATGTTCTTGGCATGTACATAACAAAGTGGAAAATACACAGTCCAAGCTGTCACGTATACATAGTAATTGCCTTTGTTTAAAGCTAACTAGAAGTAGCCATGTTTAATACCAAGACAACCGAGAATGATAATATGCCCTTTTCTAATTTTCAAATCAATGGAGATCTGCTTCAGTAGGAGTTTCCTACCAATGAAATCATAAGTCTTTATAAAAAATAAACTAATCAAATCCCAAAGAACTTTACCTGATTTATCTGGCCATTATAGGTGATTTTTTTTCTTAAGATATCCCAAAACTAATCATGATTTATTTTATCTGAATTTGTAAATATAGCCTACCCATCTCATTACCGAAACATAGTAAATTCTTATTTTTCCAGCATTGGAAATTGGAAAGCTATGATTATTATAATATGTATACTGAGAATGAGGAATAGAGACTGGACTTGTGATTTCACTGGTATAGGGAACTCTAGAATGGGGAAACTCCCTCTAGCAAGGCAGATCTGCACCTTCTCTGTAATTTATAGTCCTAAAAGTTTCCTGGATCAATAAGAGGTGAAGTGACTCTCCAGGGTCACATAGCCAGTATGTATATATGTACCAGAGATGGAGCTCAAACCCAGGTGGTCTTTCTGGATCCAAAGCCAGCTATCTATCCACTACATCACAACTGCCTCTCAGAATGAGAGTTATCAAAAAATCATACTCAAATTACCAATTTCTAAGGAGTTAATACTTAAAATATTAACTACCCTGAAAAGAACTAATCTTTGAAGATTCTTAATATACCTCTGGATAAAGCATACTCCTTTATCCTTACTGCCACTTTCAGGCTCTCCCACTGTATTTACTTCTCAACTTTCCCCCCCTCCAAAGCTCACTCCATCCATCTATCTGTCAATAAAGTACAGATCTTTGTTGCTGTACTCTACTGATCTACAGGTCCCTTTCACTCCTTTCTCGACCAGGTCACATTCTTCCTCAGTACCCCAACTCCTAACTTTAAATTTGTGTGGACTTTGATTTACATGTTGGTGTTCCCTCAGCACCCTGACTTTCTAATTCAACTACCTTGTTAACTCTTACGACCTATATCTTCCTTTTATCTCAGCCACTTCTTGTTCAGCCACGTCCAATTCTTCATAATCCCATGGACCATAGCATGCTAGGCCCTTCTGTCCTCCACTATTTCTTCAAGTCTGTAAGTTCATGTTTATTGTTTCCATGACATTATCTATCCATTTTATCCTCTGCCATCCTTTTGCCTTCAATCTTTCCCAATACCAGGGTCTTTTCTAAAAGTCCTGTG